CAATCCATGAGGGCTCCAGGGTTAGCCCTGAGAGGTTGTTTTTCTAACATTAAAGGCAAGTAAATCTTTATAAGTTCTGAGGGACCTCATCTCAGCTTAGTCCTCCAGAGGATCCCGTTAGGGGTATCCCAGTGGGACAATAGGGTGATTCTTCTCATACTGTCAGCTTGAGCCCCATTTGCTTGTCCTAGTGAGGGATGAATTAGAAATTCCATTTTGATCATCTTGTAATGGCAGGGATGCATTGGGAAAAATTTCAGGTGCTCTTTGGTATAGAAACCCAGGGAAAATTTTCCTGGAACTCCAAAGGGATAGCTTATGTTACATGGACCCCTAGAGCAAAATTGGTGTGCCTGGTGTAGAAAGAGACGCCAAGAAATGTTGTCTGGACTGAGAGGGAAATGTCCAGACAGGTCCAGGAGGAATAATATTACAGAAACCTCTAGAGGAGAGTGTGTCAAGGAGAAGACGGTGATAAAATATTGTCATCAGCTACAGAGAGGTCAAGAATGATGAGGCCTGAGAAAAGGCCATTAGATAGGGCAATTAAGAGTTCATTAGTAATTTTGGAGAGAGCAGTTTCAGTTGAATGATGAGGTCAGAAGTCAGAATGTAGAGTTAACAAGATAGTGAGAGGAAAGAAAGCAGGGGCATCAATTGTAGATGGCTTTCTCAAGGAGTTGAACCACAAAAGGGAGGAAAGATATGAGATGGTACCTAGTGGGGATGGAGCAAATGAAGGGGTTTTTTTGAGGATAGGGGAGACCTGGGCATGTTTGCAAGAAACATGGAAGCAGCCAGTAGATAGGGAGAGATTGAAGAAAAGTAAAAGAATGTGGATGATAGAGGGGGCAATCAGATGGAGAAGATAGGATGGAATGGGATTGCTTTAGCAGATGGAGCGTTTGGCAAGGAGAAGGGCTACCTCCTCATGTGGGACAGAGCTGAAGAAGAGATCTTGGCAGGGGACACAGGAATGAGGGAGCAGACTCAGAATGGGGGCTCAACCTGATGGCAGTACAAAAAAGAGACTAAACCTTAAAACCATGAAGGGGAGAGGCCTCGTTGTCAGACAGATGCCTAGACCTAAATCTATGATTAATATTAACATTTAAACTGTAGTACCTGCTAGGTACTGGGATTTCCTAAAAACCAAAATTGTTAAAAGTGATAAGCTAAAGACCTTTTAGAAACAGAAAGTGGTTTTTGTGACTTAATAACAGTGGTATAGTTTTCAAGACTCAGGGACTGGGGAGATGAATTGCCCTGGGACTAATGAACTTTACACCTTCTCTTGGGCTTAAGCAGGCTTGAAAATTACAAACCAGCTTATCTAGAGGGAGCAGAAATATTTCAGAGGGACGAGCCATTGGAACATACCAGTTTATGTCACAAGGTACTATCTTTTGGAAATCTTATCATGGTGTGATATTTCTGCCACCTAAGAAGTTTTCTTAAAAGTCCCGCCCCTCCAGATTATCAAATTCAAACACTGTGAGTCACTGATGAAGTCATGAAGCCACAGAGGGTGAAGGGTCATGAAGTTACCAGAACGGCCTTTCAAGTGAGCTTGTTACCCAAGGACCTTGTACTTCCTGACTCATGGATTTCCCAGATGCTATAGTCCCAGCTGTTTCCCAACTCAGGAAACAACACCTGCTTCTCTAAATTTCCAGCCTTTTTCGCTGGGCAGTGACTTATTATAGGCACCCAAATAACCTTTTGAACTGAGTTATTCTTCATGCTCTTGGCATATTTCCATAACTAATTGTTATATTTCTTTTAAAAATATATATATTTATTTAAAAATTTGCCCCAGTTACATGTAAAAACAATTTTTAACATTCCCATTTTTAAAACTCTGAGTCCCAAATTCTCTCCCTTCTTCCCTCCGCCCCCAATTGTTATATTTCTAACACAGAAGAGGGTTAAATGTTTAGCAGAAAGTCAAGTGATTTCTGGAATATGAGTCTGTTTTGATGTTTTTGCTCTTTGTGAAGTTGAAATTATTATGTAATAATGATGGTGATGATGATGATGATGCATGATTTCTTTAGGTTTGTTGATGACAGCAAGATTTTTACTGAGGGCCTTTGGCAAATAACTGCGCTTACTTTTTCAGCTAAGAAAGCTCAGACAAGGAGAATGGAAACAATAATACTACTAACAATAATTCTAGTTGAGTTGTGATAAATTATAACTCTTAAACTTCTAATCTTTGGTTGTTCAGTAAGGATATTTTGGTTATAATTATTGTTATATTACCTATCTATAAGGCACGATTGACCAAAATACCATCATATATGTACATGCACATGAACAGATTTTATCAGATTTATCCTGTTCAAGTCCTACCCTTGACGCTATCTGCGTGACCCTGGGCAAGTCACTTAACCACTTGGAAAATCCAAGGCAACCATCTAAGAATGTTAGTTGCTTATGTGTTACTGATCTATATCCATGGAAGGATTTTCCAAAAAGTGTTGCTAATGCTAACGAAATCACAGATTTCTACAAAAAACAAAATTGTATATGCGTGTATATAGGGGCAGCTAGGTGGCACAGTGGATAGAGTGCAGGGCCTGGAGTCAGGAAGACCCGATTTTAAAATCTGGCCTCAAACACTTACTAGCTGTGAGACCCTGGACAAGTCACTTAGCCCTGTTTGCCTCATTTTCCTCATCTGTAAAATGCGCTGGTCAAAGAAATGGTAAAGTACTCCAGTATCTTTGCCAACAAAACCCCAACTAGGATCACAGAGTTGGACATGACTGAAAATGATTAAACAACAACAAAAGAGTGTGTGTGTGTGTGTGTGTGTGTGTGTGTGTGTGTGTGTGTGTGTACTTATGTAAGTTCCTATTGAGAGGCAACATGGTGTGGTGAATCCAGTCTGGCACTGGATTAAGGGGCACTTGAATTCAAATTCTGTCTTAAGATACTAGTAGTGCAATTCTAAGTAAGTCTTCTAACCATTCAAGCTCTTTTTTCATCTGTAAAATGGGGATAATAGTATCTACTACATCTCATAGGGTTGTGAGGATCAAATATGTAAACAGCTTTTGCAAACCTTAAGTGCTACATAAATGTTAGTGATTACTACCTTGATAGAATACGCTCCTTGAGTACAGGGAATTTCATTTTTTTTTCCTCTGTATTCCCAGTGTCCAGCACATTAGCAGGTCCTTAATACAGTGTAATTTTCACATTATACTTTACATTAAAAAATGTGTACATACATCTTGTCCACCCTGTTTAGATTTTAAGCTTCTTTTTTTTTAAACGAATTTCCCTAAGGTACCTAGCATAGAACTTTGCACATAGCAAGGGCATAATAAATATTTAACAATTTTAATTTCTAGGATCTTTGTTTGGTATGCTTATTAAAAATCAAGTCTGTTTTATAGCCATATATTCTTTTAGCATATGCACTAAAAAACATCATGGATAAGTTCTGTCAGAATAATTACTTTGCCTTCATTTGATTCCCATCTTGGCACAATTAGTTACCATTATGAAGCCCATTTTGAGAAGGTATGCTACTACCATCAAGAATCCTGGGCTTTACAACACTGTGCGATGACTAGCTTTCATATAGTTACCTCTTCTTAGCAATGCAAGGATCTAAGAAAACTCCAAAAGACTCATGAAGGAAAATGCTATCCACATCCAGAAAAAGAACTTTGGAGTCTGAATGCAAATCGAAGCATACTATTTACTCTTTTTATTTCTTCTTTCTTGTGGTTCCTTTTTACAACATGACTAATGTGAAATGTTTAATGTGAATGTATATGTAGAGCGTATATCAGATTGCACATTGTCATGGGGTGAGGGGAGAGAAAATTTGGAGCTCAAAAATCTTATGGAAGTGAATGCTGAAAATTAAAAATAAATATTTAAAAAAAAAAAAGAATCCTGGGCTTTAGCTCTCACTCCCATGCAAGAGGCCTATAGAGCTACAACGATGAGCTATACAAGTTACTTCACCTGTCCCAGCTACACTTTCCTCTCAATGAAGGGAATAAAAATTGCCTCCTTTTTTGAAGATCAGAGGTCATTTTAAACTCATCTTACTCAAGAGGTGACCAATATGAAAATTACATAAACAAAAGCTGAACAGTAGTATATGAGAACTCTTAAGTTGTAATCAATTGTCTTGTTTTCGTCAACGAAAATTATTCAACCAATTCTCTGGATTCAGAACTTTGAACTGAAGCTTACAGGGATGTTCTTTAGCTCCTTTCTCCTGAAGAGGAATGTGAGGTGCATACCTTATTACTAAGTCAATATGTCCCCTACATCTTTGCCTACTGAAATCCTCCCTTCAGGGTCCAACCCTGGTGCCACCTCTTCCATGAAGTCTCCCAAGGTCCATCCAGCTAAAAAGGGATCACTCTATTTCCAATTCTCTTTGTCCTCATATATACTAGGTCCTTGGTATTTGTTGAATTGAATGATTTTTGTGAAGGACACCCAACTTTTTTTAGCTTTAATGTCTCTTAGCAAGAGTCACCAAAATAAATTACTCCAAATATAAACAAGCTTATTCAAGAGCTGTTTAATTCAATTCAACAAATATTTATTAAGGACTTACTATGTGTAAAGGTACTGCTGGGTGCTGGGGATAACAAAGAAAAAAATGAAACAGGCCTGCTCTCAAGGAGCTCACATTCTACTGAGGGATTATTACAGGCACATAGATAAGCAAATACATAATTATACAAAGAAATTTCAAGAGGGAGATATGACTAACAAACTTGTAGGAGGAGATAAGGAAAAGCTTGCTATAGAAGGTGACTTCTGAGCTGTACTTGGGAGGACATTAAAGACTTCAAGAGACCAAGGTACGGAGAGAGTGTATTTCAGACATGGAGAACCACATGCAAAGTGATAGAGGTGGGAGATGGAATGTGATAGACGATGAAAAGCTGGTTGGCCAGGCAGAGGAGAACAAGGAATGTGTTTAAGTGCTTGTCATTAAGTTCACACCACACTCTGAATAAAAACCAAAAAGGTAAATTTATTTAAATTACTAAAATAGTTTTGAAAGTCATTTACAAATCAGCTGCTACAATTAATGTTTCCAAAAGGTATAACAAGTAGCATATTAATCACTTAAAATTATTTGGTCAGCAAAATATTTAATAAAAACATTTACCACTCAATACTTTTTGTATATACAAAATGACAATTTTTTTTTATCACTTTCTGTTCATTTGTGAATTTTTTTGGGAAAATGATTCAAATAATATGACTTTGGATCTTCAGAAAATCATTTTAATAGGGATGTGATTTATGAATGTAGGCAGCCTCACCAAAGAAGAATTGAACCATCTATCAATTTACTATCAAATACAGGCCATTCAAAGGCAATTATGAAACCAATGTCTAGCTCTAATAACACTCTGAGAGAAAATAAGAATAAAGATTTTCCAAGTTTCACAAACAAAATAAAACCAACCCTAGGTCACTCCATAATTGTAAGAACCTAAGAAAAACTATAGCAACTTAAGAGACTAGAATACTATAAATTACAGATTGAAAGTTAAAACTGAAATATGTAAGTACACTAAATATACATTTAAAAATTCTTCATCTGTGGTACTTTTACTTTCTTTTTGGCATGAGGCACTCAAAATAAACTTATATGCATAGTAAATCTTCATATTTTTCACGAAGTTTCATTAAATGACTCAGAATAAAACACATATACAGACAAAGAAGTTAATATTATTTACTGATCCTGCAATTTTAGATTTTTATTAAAATCAAAAGCTTTAATATATATGTTCAGAATAAACTACCCAGAATTTGCCTAGCCTTCAAGGGGTAAGACTGAACTTAGGTTTCATGATATATTGCCTTCCAAATCTTACTGCAGGATCAGAAATTTCTTATGGGAAAAATATTTTGAGATGGCTGTACTAAAAAGGAAAGACTGAATTATTAACTGGGATGATAAGGACGCTATAAACATCTAGATCATCCAAGTCTCAATGGCTTATTGTTAAAATTTAATTTTGTGCAAGACTTTTCCCCTATTTCCCCAACCTTTGAAAATTTTCAGTGCTTCTGTTATTCTAAGAAATAGTTAAGAGGGTAAATCCACACCTAAAATGTGCTAAAGGAAAGGAAACAGGAAAGCCCATAGCTATGTGTGAGGAGCTGCCATACCATTAGGCCAATGAATAAAGCATCAGGGGTAGGGAGTGGGGGGGGCAGGGGCAGGGGCAGGGGCAGGGGCAGGGGCAGGAGCAGGAGCAGGAGCAGGGGAGGTGGCAGGGAAAGCTTTGGAAGAAAATACCTAACTTAAAAAATTGGAAAAGTTGATGGGAGGGGAGTCTATCAATTCATTAATCAGACAAAACCTATAATGATTCTGCTCCAGGTTCTCAAAGACAACTCTTTGTGGAACCTGCAAACTAACTGCAACTCTAAGGTGCAGCCTTTGCTGTTCTGCATGTAACAAAGGAAAAAATCCTCTTCAGGAAAACAGACCATATTAAGATGACTAAGAAATTAAAAGCATTTACAATGCTTTGCATTCACTATGTCCTATGTTTACAACAGAACTTTAATTTCCTTTAAAAAGAAAATAGTTCTTGCAAAAAGAACTCTGATTCTTATTACTGGTCAAAGGGCTTGAGAAGTTCTTGGGACATGAGGCATATCTCCTTTTCTCTCACAGTTATAAGCACACCCCACTTTTCAGGGAATTTTCAGGTTGAACAGGTAATACTAGGTGGGAGATACGGCTCCACAGTCCACTTAGTTTGTCTGAATCCATGTGATTATAGGAGTTAGGGGTGTCAGAACTGGTAAACTTGGCCTTGAGGAAATCCCTCACTTTCTCTTCAATCTCCTTTAGGCCTAAATCAGTTCCCAGTGTCTTTTCTTCCAGGAGGACTGTAAGAATCAGGGCCACATCTTTGAAGGCAGCATTTTCATGATCACAATATTTGTAGAAGATGAGCGTGGAGCCTGCGGGGAGTGACTCAAAACGATGAACCACAGCTGCATTCTGGCCATTCTGGAATCCACTGTTCAGTTTCTGATCTACTTCCTGCTTGACATCATCACTGTCTTGGGCGGATCTGCCAGTCCCATTAATTCGGATTGCACGAACCCTATAGAAGGAGGAGTAGGCATCGGCAATCTGTTCACTCAGACACCTGAGCGTTTCTTCAGCATCCTGGGCAGCAGTCAGCAACAGGATGGCGGGCTGGGGCCGAGGGTGGGAACTATTCAGGTGTTTCTCCAGGAACATCTGGCTCCTTTTCCATAACTTTTCATCCTGATTTCGGTACTTATTCATAAGCTTTTTCATCTGGTTCTGGAATTTCTGCACAGCAGTGGTTTCTACACTTGTGGTTGAAGTCCAATTTATGTAGAAAAAACTGGGGGCAACAAGAATGACTAATAAAACCAGCAGCCACACTATGACAGAAGACTTCTTTCTGGACTCATCTGCTTAGGAATAACAGAAGTGACAAACATAAACATCACTTTCTCAGCTTCACAGAAGAATGACTTGTTGAAATTTAACATTAAACTTTGTAATATACCCTTTTGTTCTTTTAGAAATACTTAGAAGATAAAGGGAAGGGTAGTGAAAAAATGAAAGGTTGATCAAACAGAAGAATATAATTTCTTCAACTAAAGACAGAATTGTTACATTTTTAAAAATAAAGTTACATACATGCACAAATATTCAAGGGTGCTTATGTAAATATGTATATGTGTTTCTTTAGACATGGTACTGGGTAACAGGAGATGATTTCTGAGGCTTATTGCAACTCTAAAATTCTGAAACTGCAGAAATGGTTAAAAAAAATAGCCTTATAGTAATAAATAGAAAAAACGCCTCAAGCAGTTCAGAACAGCACACAGCATACCTAAATATAGTTTATTTCTGCTGTGGCACAGGGCAACATGAAATTGGAAAAGAACAATATTAGACCAAATTTATGAAACGATTTGTTACAGAAAATTAGCAGTTCATATTATACCCAAAAAGTGGACTATTTTAGATTAACTGTTTTCTAATATTACAACTGTAATATGAGAATAAAAATAAAAAGATAATTTAAATTAATCTCTTCCATGTATTACTAATAACAGCTGTGATTTTGCTTTTACATTCAGGCTCCTACAATACCTAGTTTTTCCAGTTGCTAGTGCTTTCCCCCTTCCCAAATTATCTTGTATCTTTTGTATATCCCTGTATATGTACATAGGACCCTAGAATATGTACTTATTAGCCCTCCTCAAGGGGAGGGACTGTTTTCACTTTGGTCTTCACATACCCTGGGCCTTGGTGTACACAATGCTCTGCACATTAAGTAGGTGCATAATAAATACTTCCCAGTTTTTTGGAATCACAGGCTTATTCTATTTTTTCTGTGATACATATAATTTAACAGTAGCAAAACAGTTTGGAATTTTCTCATCCTTGATTACAAACCAATGAGAAGAGTGCTGTTTTGCTCTCCAGCTTTGCAGCATTCTGAAAGGTCCAGCATAAGTGCTCATTAGCATTAAATATATCACAAAATCTGTCCCAGTCTGTTCACTTTCTACATCCTTTTGACTGTGAGGCCAACAGAGTTTAAAGGGAAGATTCCAATGCGTGGCTTTTCTTATATGAAACACAGACTGCAAAAATCAATGTTTTCCTCAAGAACTCAAGCCATGTTTCTTCAAAAGCAGTAGCTTTAACTATCTGATTGTTAAAACGATATAGAAAACTTAATTGTAGAATAATTAGAAAGGGGTCTTGGTAAGGTATATAGAATAGAGTAGGTGGTCTCTAAGGTTTATTTCAATTCTGAGATTTTATACTTCTGTGAATTAGCTTTATCACAACATAGTTTACTAAAGAATAAGGTCAAGTAGGAATCAAGATGTACTTACTTTGGTTGACAGATAATAATGATTTGTTTGTAAGGTCTGATTTATGGAAGTTATCATCTGTTGAAAAGATTAAGAAAAACAATATAGTCATTCAATTTAGGTTTTAAAATTTTGGTATTTCCCTCTAATGAGGATAAGAAAAATAAAAGCTCTGTCATATGGCAAAAGAAAGAACTTTACAAGGAGACCAAGAGTGTGCGGTCATAGCTTTCAACTCCAGAGTTTCTGTTTCTACCCATTTTTTCCATCTTTTCATTTGTCTAAGAGGAGGTAACGCTCCTTCCCCAAACTAACCCCTTCATTTATGCCTTCAATCATCTCTGCCTCCCACCTCCTTTCTTTTGACCTTGCTTTTCCATGGAGTTAATTTCACTGTATCAACAAACATTTTAAAAGAACAGTCATCCAATGCCTCTATTTCCTCACCACCCACTCATTTCTCAATATCTTTCGATATGAATTCCAGTTTTGCCCTCTACCCCAACTGACTCTCAAAAGTTACCAGAGACCTTCAAACTCAAGGGCCTTCTCAATCCTAAACGCTTCTGACAGCTCAGTAGCATCTAGTAATACTATCTCTACGTTCATTTCTGATTCTACCTCTTGCCTTCATCTTCATATAACAGAACAAACATTTAAGTCAGGGGTTCATAATCTAGGGTCCATGAACTTATACTTTGATAATGAAATGTGAATATAATTGGGTTTCCTTTGTAATACTCTATATTTTATGCATTTAAGAACACAATTCTGAGAAGGGGTCCAGTGTTTACCAGACTGCCAAAGGGGTCTGCAGCACAAAAAAGGTTAAGAACCCTTACTTTAAGTCTTTACCCAAGTAAGCACTTTGCATGGCTGAGCACTGCTGGGGAGGAAGTCTTCCTCTACCACAGCGCTTCCAGCTAACGTGGTTTCTTCCTCCTAGAATCTCTAATACACACTTTTTTTCACTCTATTAAACAGCATGGCCTGTGTTGGATCCTATTGCTGTTGCATCATTGGAACCCAGCATGGTGCTTTGTATGTATTTTAGGTACTTAGGAAATATTTCCTTAACTAATTTGAACTCTGTATATTCGAGATTGAGCTCGTCATCATTCTCCCAAATTCTATTCCCCCTTTTGCCTTCCCTATTTCCATTAATAGCCTCACCACCATCCCAGTCACCACTGCTAGACACTTTAGAGCTATGGGCACAACACTCTGTGGGAAGTCTCAGGGTGGCCATTCCCTGAGTAACCAAGGCAACCAAGCAAATATCCCCAAACATAACCATGAAGAGACTGCAAAAATAAGCCCCTGAGAAAGAGGACTCTACACCTGGACCCTGTGAGGCCAGGTGTCAGCTATGGAACAAGGATGATATGCAGGCAGAGAGAGCTGCAACATACGATTGAAAGAGTATTGGATCTGAAGTCAGGGGACCTGGGTTTGAAGCCTAGCTCTGTTACTTGCTAACTGAATGACCCTGGGTAAGTTACTTTGACTTCTCTGTGCCTCAGTTTCCTCATCTGCAAAACGGGGGGGTGGTATACTACATGGCTGTAGTTCCTAAAGATGAGGTCGGTATTGATTAGGCTTGAGAGTAAAACTTGGGACCAGATAATGATTGGGTGCAAATCCTGGTTTTTCCACTACTTTTGGGACTTCCCCTCCGTGGGCCTCAGTTTCCTCATCTATAAAAGGAGGGGGGGGTTGGACCAGGTGACCTTTTTAAAGTTCTTCCCAGTTCTAAATCTCAGATTTTATGATCTGGACCCCATCCCCCTCCCAATACGAACTGGAAATAAGCTATTTTTCTCCTGATTTCCCTATTAGTTTATAATACTTTCTGTCTTGTTTATCTCTGTACCTCTTTCAGGGCCTAAAATAATACTGTGTACATAGTACATATTCAATATGTTTGTCAAATGAAAGATTAAACTGCTCAGTAAATTATAAAATCTGTATAAAACTAGATCCCCGCATTATCTGTATAAAGTAGTTATAAATAAAATTTGAAGATCTAATACTGAATGTTGTGACACGGTCTTTTAAATCAATTGAAGTATCACTGTCCTATCTTACTCTTAATTATTTAACAGGAGTAGACAATGTTCTGGGACAAGTCAAAGGAAAGAAGAAAACAGGTCAAGCACATAATAAAATTTATATCATACCATCTGAAAAATGATCGTGAATCAAGGTCTGGCCTACTGTAGATGCTGCAAGGAACAAGAAAGAATTGAATGTAGGCTACTTAGAGACTTTTTCAAATAAACTTTGATGTCTGGTGTCTGTATCACTCAAATCCTGGATGCTTTCAAATTTTTTTCTTTAAAACTAACATTGGATTTTTTTTCCAGATAAAGGAAAGTGATTAGTTGGTTTTCCAAATATTCCTCAAATCCATATAATATCAAGGTTAAGAATCCCTACAACAGATAGATAAATTTTTGGCCTCAAGACCAAAAAGCAAAAAACGAGTACACTCCCCTAAAAAAAATCCCAAATGCCTCAAGGCTATTATGAACTTGCTAGAGCTAGTCATCAAAATAAGTCTAGACTGGGATAACTCATCCCCTATAACAGTTCTTACTCAAACTATGATTGTAACTTAGATATTACAGAGACTCTCAATTTTTAAAAAAATTTCCCATCATGATGAAGTGTCCATAGTAGTTATTATTAAGTAACATATCTAGGATTTACCTAATTAAAAAAACAGAGCTGACACACATACTACAGTTACCACTCCAAAATGACCAATATACAATATCATTGATAAGACAGGACATGCTTTAAAATCAGTATATAGAACACATCCCATTAAGAATAACATTCTTAATAACAACTTAACAAATAACTTAAAATACTGAAAGTAGCACAAATTTCCAGAATGAAACTTTTATGGGGTGGGGCCCATATTCTTCCCGCCTAAAGTGTGGAATGATAATTAGTCACTGCCCACACAGTAAGAAGCAGACGACTGTGATCCTTTTATCCTCATCAATAACAGATTAGCTCTCTAAGGAGAATACAAGTTATTAACATATTAACATGGAAATGACACAGTAGCAGCACACAGCTCTGGGAAGAGTAGAAAACACTGGACTGGAAGAAAGCAGACCTCAGTTCAAGTCTTAGCCTTTCCACTTACTAATTATGTGAATGTGGGCTTGGCTAGTTACTTTTTCTCCCTAGACTCCAGCTTCCTTGTCTATAAAAAGTGAGGGGGAGGGTGTTGGAGTAGATGACCTCTATGGTCCTTTCCAACTTTAATCAGACATGGGTTTGAGGCCTGGGCTCCAACACTTACTAGCTTTGTAACTTTGGGTATACCTCTGAACCTCGGTTTATCTGTAAAATGGCAATAATATTTGTGCTAAATATTATTGTGCTAAATAGGAGATTATCATCATTATTATACAGTGATATATATGACATCACAATCTGAAGGGACAACTACATGTTTTCGCCCATTCATTTCTCTGTTCTTTGCTATTTTAGAAGTTGAATAACTGGAGGAAATGCCTTTGGCTAGTGGGAAATAGACATGTCATCTACCCTGAAATACTAGTAGAGTGGTATTAAATCACTGGTGACGACAGTATAGTACTGCTTTCTACCTGAGCTGACAAAACTATGCAGTCAGATTGTGAGGCATGAATTTTGGAATGCTAAGGAAAGGAAAGAAAGTCATTAAGTTGGGGTAGGAGTGAAGAAAGGAGAACGGAGATCTGTGTTGAGTCTGTTTTGAAGTAAATGTAGAATTGTCCTTCCCCAAATGAAGAGACTTCTTATTGTTATTACTGTTGTTATTATTATTATTACTACCACTGCAGGTACTACAGTTTGAAGTACTAAGGGCTATAGTACCTAGGATTTTTATTTCCCACTCTATATTTGCATTAAGTTGTTTTCTTTGTTTCCAAGGCACTTATGAAATGCTTTAAAATGACATCATGGACTGGCCATGTATGTAATAAACTCCACACACATAGTAATTTAATTTTCTATAATGCTGAACTGCAAGTCTGGTGTGGTATTAAAGTATTTTGGGGGGTACTTTAGGCTCACTATAATATAAAAAGTTGTCTTTTAGGCAACTGACACTGTTCTTGGGAAACAGCAGCTACAGAAATTAGCTATGAGTAGCAAGGGAGGGAAGGACAATAGACTGAGCCAAAAAGGAATGTTTTTTTTTTTAATTTATTTATTTTTAGTTTTCAACATTCACTTCCACAACATTTTGAGTTCCAGATTTTCCCCCCATCTCGTCCCTTCCCCAAGTCCAACATAGCGTGCATTCTGAATACCCTTTCCCCTAATCTGCCCTCCCTTCTATCTCTCCCGCCTTCTCTTATCCCCTTCCTCTTCTATTTTCCTGTAGGACAGGATAGATTTCTATACCTCATTGCCTGTATATCTTATTTCCCAGTTGCATGTGAAAACAATTTTTTAACATTTGTTCTAAAACTTTGGGTTCCAAATTTTCTCCCTTCCTCCCTCCCCACCCACCCTCACTGAGAAGGCAAGCAATTCAATACAGGTTATACTTGTGTAGTCATGCAAAACACTTCCACAGTAGTCATGTCATGAAAAACTAACTATTTTCCCCTTCATCCTATCCTGCTCCCTGTTTATTCTATTCTCTCTTTTGACCCTGTCCCTCCTTAGAAATGTTTTGCTTCTGATTACCCCCTTCCCAAATCTGCCCTCCCTTCTATCATCCCCCCGCTCTCTTATCCCCTTGCCCCCATTTTCCTCAGGGTAAGACAGGTTTCCATACCCAATTGAGTGTGTATGTTATTCCCTCCTTAAGTCAAATCTGATGAGAATAAGATTCACTCATTCCCTCTCACCTTCCCCCACTTCCTTTCCACAGTAAAAAGCCTTTTCTTGTCTGTTTTATGTGAGATAATTTACCCCATTCTACCTCTCCCTTTCTCCTTCTCCCAGTATAATCCTCTCTCACCCCTTAATTTTATTCTCCAGATATCATCCCTTCATCTTCAACTCACCCTATGCCCTCTATCTATCAATCTATCTATACATACAATTTTTTTTCCCCTCCAACTACCCTAAAACTGCCAAGGTCTCATGAGTTACAAATATCATCTTTCCATGTAGGAATGTAAACAGTTCAATCTTAATAAGTCCCTTATGATTTCTCTTTCCTGTTTACCTCTTCATGCTTCTCTTGAGTCTTGTATTTGAAAGTCAAATTTTCTATTCAGCTCTGGTCTTTTCATCAAGAATGCCTGAAAGTCCTCTATTTCACTGAATGTCCATTTTTTTTCCCCTGAAGGATTATACTCACCAGTTTTGCTGGGTAGGTGATTCTTGGTTGGAATCCTATGTCCTTTGCCCTCTGGAATATAGAAGCTACTAACTCCTGTATTATCCTGATTGTGTTTCCATAATACTTGAATTATTTCTTTCTGGCTGCTTGCAATATTTTCTCCTTGACTTGGGAACTCTGGAATTTGGCTACAATATTCCTAAGAGTTTTCCTTTGGGGATCTCTTTTAGGAGGTGATTGGGGGATTCCTTCCATTTCTATTTTGCCCTCTGGTTCTAAAATATCAGGGTAGTTTTCCTTGATAATTTCTTGAAAGATGATGTCTAGGCTCTTCTTTTGATCACAGCTTTCAGATAGTTCAATAATTTTTAAATGATCTCTCCTGGATCTATTTTCCAGGTCAGCTGTTTTCCCAATGAGATAGTTCACATTATCTTCTATTTTTTCATTCTTTTGGTTTTATTTTACAATGTCTTGATTTCTCATAAAGTCACTAGTTTCCAATTGCTCCATTCGAATTTTTAAGGAAGTATTTTCTTCAGTGAGCTTTTGGACTTCCTTTTCCATTTGGCCAATTCTGTTTTTGAAGGCATTCTTCTCCTCATTGGCTTTTTGGACCTCTTTTGCCATTTGGGTTATGTTATTTTTTAAAAATTAATTTATTTTGAATTATCAACAATCACTTCCATAAGCTTTTGGAGTTTTAAATTTTTCTCCCCTTCCTTCCCTACCTCCCTCCCCAAGATGGCGCTCAATCTGATACAGGCTTTACATATACATTCCTATTAAATATATTTTCACATTGGTGATGTTGTAAGTAAGAATTAGAACCAATAGGAGGAACCACCAGAAGAGGAAACAAGGGGTAGCTAGGTGGCGCAGTGGAAAGAGCACCAGCCCTGAAGTCAGGAGGACCTGAGTTCAAATCTGACCTCAGACCAAACACTTGACACTTACTAGCTGTGTGACCCTGGGCAAGTCACTTAACCCCAACTGCCAAGGGGAAAAAAAAAAAAAAGAGAGAAAACAAAACATAACAGAAGAAAAAAAAATAGCAAAAAGTATGCTTTGATCTGCAATCAAACTCCATGGTTCTTTTTTTGGATGTGGATAGCATTTTCCATCATGAGGCCTTTGGAGATGTCTTAGATCTTTGTATTGCTGAGAAGGGTTAAGTCTATCAATATTAGTCATCACACAACGTGGCTGTTACTGTGTACAACGATCTCATGGTTCTGCTCACTTCACTCAGCATCAGACCATGCGAGTCTTTCCAGGTTTTTCTGAAGTCAGCCTGTTCATCATTTCTTATAGCACAATAGTATTCCATTACATTCATACACCACAACTTGTTCAGCCATTCCCCAATTGATGGTATCCTTTCAATTTTCAATTCTTTGCCACCACAAAAAGAGCTACTATAAATATTTTTGTACATGTGGGTCCTTTTTCCATTGTATGATCTTTCTGGACTATGGCCCTAGAAGTGCTATTGCTGTATCAAAGGATATGCACATTTTTATAGCCCTTTGGGCATAGTTCCAAATTGCTCTCCAAAATGGTTGGATCATTTCACAACTCCACCAATAATGCATTAGTGTTCCAATTTTCCCACATCTTCTCCAACATTTATCATTTTCCTGTTTTGTCATGTTGGCCAATCTGATAGATGTGATGTGTTACCTCAGAGGTGTTTTGATTTGCATTTCTCTAATCAATAGTGATTTAGAGCATTTTTTCATATGACTATAGATAGCTTTAATTTCTTCATCTGAGAACTTCCTGTTCATATTCTTTGACCGTTTATCAATTAGGGAATGACTTGTATTCTTATAAATTTGACTTAATTCTCTATATATATATTTTAGAAATGAGGCCCTTATCAGAGAGACTGGTTGTAAAAATTCTTTCCCAATTTTCTACTTTCCTTCTACTCTTGGTTGTATTGGCTTTGTTTGTGCAAAAACTTTTCAATTTAATGTAATCAAAATTATCCATTTTGCTTTTCATAATGTTCCCTATCTCCTATTTGATCATGAATTCTTCTGTTCTCCATAAATCTGATAGGTAAACTATTCCTTGCTCTCCCAGTTTGCTTATAGTATCAGCCTTTCTATCGATAATCATGAATCCATTTTGACTTTATTCTGGTATATAGTGTGAGATTTTGATGGGTTAGGCTATTTTTAAGGTGTTATTTTCTTCAGTATGTCTTTGGGTTTCCTTTAGGAAGCTGTTGACTAGTTTTTCATGATTTTCGTGCATCACTCTCATTTCTCTTCCCAGTTTTTCCTCTACTTCTCTTACTTGCTTCTCAAAATCCTTTCTAAGCTCTTCCATGGCCTGGGACCGATTCATATTTTTCATGGAGGCTTTGGATGTAGGAGCTTTGACTTTGTTGTCTTCTTCTGGTTGTATGTTTTGGTTTTCTTTGTCACCAAAGAAAGATTCTACAGTCTGACTTTTTTTTTTGCAGTTTGCTCATGATCCCAACCAATTTCTTGAGTTTTAAACTCTTTGTTAAGGTAGGGGTCTGCTCCCAGTGTGGAGAATGTACTATCCCAAGCTTCAGGGGTTTGGTGCAGCTGTTTTCAGAGATACTCATAGGGACCTGTAAGTTTTCAGTTCTTCCAAGGTGGTATGATCAAGGGTGAGGTGTTTACTCCTTTCCTGGCCTGTGCTCTGGTCTATGAGTGATCACAAGCACTCTTTTCTGACTTGGAACTGTGAGGAGGATTCCCTCTCTACCACCACTACAAGCTCCACCATGCCAGTGCTCCTCCTTGCCCCAGGATCACCACTCAGAACTGTGACCCAGATCCAATCGCAGGCAAAGCAAGAGAATCCTGCCTGAGCACCAGCAAAGAGATCCCTGAAATCCCCCTCTGATCAGCCACTCGATTTCCCTTTAGTCTGTAGGCTAGAAACTCCCAACGCAGCTGCTGCCCCCAGGGTTGCGCTGAGACTGGGGCTAGGACCGAGCTTCTCTCTTACTACAGTCACAGACTTTTCCTACTGACCTTTTAAGCTGTCTTTGGCATTTGTGGGTTGAAAAGTCTGGAAACCACCACAGCTGCCCATGATTCAGTCCTCTGAGGTCTGCTCCAGGTTCACTGAAGCCTGGTCTTTGCCTGCTCGTGTGCCTATGCTAAACTGCATTTCTCTCTCAGCCCAGCGCGATAGATCTTTCTAATCAACCATCCAGGTTGTCTTGGGCTGGAAATTTGTTTGACTGTCTTTTTGTGGTTCTGTTGCTCTAGAATTTGTTTACAGCCATTTTTTACAGGTATTTGGAGGGGTTTGGGAGAAAGCTCAAGCAAGTCACTGCTTTTACTCCTCCATCTTGGCTCTGCCCCTCAAAAAGGAACGTTAAGAAAGTCTATGGAGTCTGTCTCAAAGCCTGATAAATAGCAGCAAATAGTAGGAACATAAAATAAGGAGAAACATAGGGAGACCATGTTGTACTGAGCAGAAGAGAAAAACAGAGATGCTCTAGGGGTAAGAGACAATAAGAAATATTAACAACAATAAATACACACACACAAGTGGTCGGGGGAATGGAATAGCAACTAGCAAGGCTTAACAATGATAGCCAATGATACCTATGTTATATACTTAAGCCCAATTATAATAAAATACAGGTATGGATATGAAAAGGTTTAACAGAAGAAGGCCAACTTTATTCTGAAGTCCAATTCTTACTTTGTGGGAAAAACATGGGTGATGCAACCTAGATAAAAAATTGTACCTTCTCTGTATACTCTACATTCATTCACTCATCTAACTTCAGGAGACTCGCAATGGCATGAACCTCCATGAAATCCAAGGGGACTTACCTGGCCTAGGCTCTAGGTGAATGAATGCAGAATAGACAGGTTGAATGTCACTTCAGACCTAAGTACTATATCAATTTTCTTCTAAAAACAAGATTTTACTTTTGACCTATTTCTGCTGAAAGTATTGTGCAGAATGAGTTTTTAATATCACTCTAATCCATGATGAAAATGTAAAACATTTCTTAAGTTCTTTAAAAACTGATAAAATAAGTTACCCCAAACATATAACTGCAAACAAAATCCAAAGGCTATAGCCATTATTACTTCAAACTGTGGTAAGTGAAGCTTCTCTAAATAATGTAGGTATGTTATGCAAACTAAACTCAAATGTCTTATTGGAGAAGGAACCTAGAGAAAAAGGTGTTATCAGTAAAGAAATGGCAATATAGTACGAGAACAATGTACCATAGGAATTGTCATTCTGTCCATTTAAAAAGAGCCAAGGCATCTTACATGTCACTCCAAGTCTACAGAGCAAGTCAGAGCCCAACCTTGGAATTTTGTTTTGTTTTTTGCTCATCACGCACCCAAATTCTTATAACACTATCACTAACCAATTAACCAAACACTGGCAAAAAAACCTAAAAATTCTTTTTAAAAATCTTTTTTATCCTCAACTTAACAAAAAAATTAACATTTCCATAGACAAAGTAGAACTTTAAGAAGATTATATCTCTTAGCAAATAACCTTAAGAACATTTTATAACAAGTGGAGATTTATCCACTTACTTGGTGATTTTGTCCGTAGTCTTGCATTTTGTCCAGACCATTCCAGAGGTTTTATTGGAATTTGGGAGGCTGGAGTAAAAACATCAAGATTTCAATGCACAGATTTTTAGAAACAATTATGTCCATTAAGACTACAGTGTTATGAAGTTAGTGACTCAGAAAGGCCCAAACAAGACAACTACTGGCATGAAGCTCAGAAATAAAGGTAAAAGGCAAGAGAGTAAGGAGATGGGCCAGGGTCACTGATATGTGAGGCAGGATACCAACATAAGGTTAGGTGAAACCTCTTAATCCCCATCCGACGTGTTCCTTAAAACCCATGTGTTTACTCTACTCATCCTTAAATGTCATGGCACTAGTTAGGCAGAAAATAAATATCTAATCAGGGAGGGACCACTTTTTAACTGAGAATGAATGACACAAATAAAATTCTATTTTCATCTTCCAGTGTAATTTTTAACAAATGGGATGCATTTAATGACTTGTAGATAAACTGCCCATGAATGATGGACCCTTCCCATTTTTCCACCCTGCTGTCCCACTTTGAAACAAAAAAAAAACCCCAAGATTAGTCTGGATGACACATGATAACACATCCATACTACAAAAGTAACTGCCACATACAGTGTATCTCTGACGTACCTATGATTTAAGAGGAAAAAGAAGTCAAATAATTTGAGGTCCTATCGTGATGCTTTTTGTGGAAAGAAAGCAAGATTACTCCCCTTGCCAGTAGAAAAAAAAGCAAACACATTCATGTACTTACTTAGCAATGGTGACTGCTTATTGGGAAGTTTTATTTCTTGGCCTGCAACAGAAAGCAGAGGTAGAAAAAACACAGAATACTTAGAAGGCTAAAACAAAAGTGTTCTTACAGACCAGAATATGGTATTTGTTGTTTTGATTTATTTTTTCATTTTAAAGATCAGAAAATAACAAAATAACAATCCCAAGATTTTCACTGGCCCAAGGTGACCAGACAACTGCCTCTAGGTCTTTCTGATTCTAAGACTGCCTCTCTCTCCCTCTCTTAGGAGGCCAAGACTCCGGCTTCTTCAATATTCCACCTGTCCAATACTAATAATGTTTTTGTCATATGATTGATACCTTAGCACATATATGAGGAAACTATGTCCAGGGTCACATAACGCTTTATCAATTAGACAACCTAGATGTTACCTATAAGCAACTTTGTGGCCATTGCCAGATAGTCATAAGGTAAGAGTTACGTTACTCTACCAGGTGAAACTTCAAGGTGAGTTATGAACCATAAAATTTGTACAACCAAGTATGAAAATCTTGATGTTACTAAGACATGATTTATTTTAACAAGTTTCCATGAAAAGTATTTACCTTAGTGACATTTGGTATAAAGACAGATTGAAATCTAAAATCTAAGATCTTAGAAGCAAAAGGCACATAAAGATAATGGAGGATTTAGAAAAGCAGTTTTTTCAAATGTTCTTATTCCATTCTGAGCATTATCTCTAAAGTGCCATGTTTGAGCTAAAATTCAGGCACTAGATGAATGAAAGAACAAAATCAAAATCTGTAAAGAAGGTTATAAAAGAAACAATTCAACCCTCAAGGTTTCTTGAATTATTTTACAACTTTTGAAAAAGGGAATTGGGGAATAAACTTCCAACGTGTGTGGAATTTTACACACAGAGTACTTTGGGGGTTGCCAATAATTACCCCAAATTTTTTTGTGCATCCTACCTAAGAGAGTAGAGCAAAGAAGTTATTCTTTTCCTAACCAAAGGACACAAGGTTCAAACTGTTTTATGGTCAATGTAATCAAAAGCAATGAATAAAATCACAAGGCCATTATCAACATGAATCAACGCCTATGAAGGTCACAGAAAGTGACATTTTTTTTTTTTAATTTCAAATTCAAGCCTGGGAATAGATATGGGGAATTCAAGAAATTCAGACACTTTAAGATGCACGCTTTTCCCTCTCACCTCTTTTCTCACTGATTTATCTTTATTGTTTGCTACACTTAAACTGCAATAGATGACCTGGAAAAAACAAGAACAGCACCTGAACTTACCCATAAACAGAAAGGTAAAGAGGAAAGAAGGAAACATGCCTAAAAAACATAACTCTTGCGTGACATTCTGGACATTGACTAGGAGATCTAAAAATACAGGCAGACATACTGAATAACAAGACATATTTCATGTTTTAAAAGCACAGTTCTACAATTAAAAAAACAAATAAACCATACCACAAGGCAATGATTGAATCTATCATGGTACCTGAAGGTATTTGCTAGAACTGTGTAACACACTGTTTATGGAGCTGTGAGTTGGTCCAATCATTCTGGTAAATAATAATTTGGAATTATACTATAAAAGTCATTGAATTGTACCTGTATTATGTCTGACCCAGTGACACTATCATTAGGCATAATTGTGACTAGGAAGGGTCAAAGATGGCAGGAAAGATCTCATATATTAAAAAAAATGTTTAAAGTAGCTGAGAAAAAAAGGGGATGCTCATTCTCTGGGAGTGGATTGAACAAATTCATATATGAACTTGATGGAAAATTATTTCATCATAAGAAACAGCCTAGATGAAGAATTCAGAGAAGCATGGGAAGACAAGTCTGAGTGGATGCAGATCAAAGTAAGCAGAGTAATGAGGATAATTTACACGATGAGCACATGAATGTGACGGAAAACAACAGTGAAAATCCTCAGAATGCTGATCAATGCAGTGAACAGGAATGATTTTTGATGACTGATGGGAAAAACATACTTTCATCTCTTGTCAGAGAGGTGAAAAGCTATAGATGAAGAAGGAGGCATACATTTTCAGGCATGGCTGACATGCTGACTTGTTTCTCTTCACTGTACTTATTTGTTACCAGGATGGGTGTGATGGTGGGTAGGAGAAGTCACAGGGAAGTCCCAGTTATATATTAAAAAAAAAATTAATAGATGGTTTTGGCCTTCTCCCTAGTATTACTCTTTGGAGATAAATATAATAAGACAAAGAATATGGCATAGAGGAGGGGTGATTAAAAATCTTCTAGTTGTAAAAAATTCTAGTAATTCAAAATGACAAGGCTATAGCAGAGCATGAGAACATTAGAGTAGGAAGGGATCTGATAGGTTCTCTAATTTAACTCACTCATTTCATAAATGAGAAAATTGAGGCTCAGAGAAGGGATATAACTTCTCCAGGTAATACAAGGAGTTAATGGTAGAGCTGAGACTGGAGCCTAGGTCCCAGCTCAGTGTTATTTTTCTTTTAAGTATATACAGGTAAACAAAGAAAGATTTAGATTTAGAAATAACATAAAGTTAGCAAACTATTGAAAGTTTAATACATCACATAGAATAATGAATCCTGGAGGAAAAAAAATTCACGTTGATGAAGAAGTGGATCAGAAAAGTAAAGCTACAGTTGTCTTCGTCTTTTATGTTCAACTACCTAAAATGGATGTGCTATTTGTGAAACTGTTTTATTAATCCTTGAGATTCAGGTACTATATACTTCAAATAACTCTTAATTGGTATCATGTTCTGTGAGACCTCAACTGATTCAAGTTGTTGATCATTTAAACACAGTAAGATTTTTGGATCCTTGAACTTCAGAGAAATGACAAATTCCTTGAGCCCGTGGTAAAAGAAAGTTATGGTTTTAATCTGAGTTCTCCCATTTTATGGTAAGATTATGAACATTCACAAAGTAATAAACAAAAAATAAGTAAATAAATAAAAAAGTATTACTTTCCTACATGCTTGAGGACTTTCATGTTTGTGATATATTATGCTGCAACATAATCTATTTTGGTTGTAATTTTAAAATTAATTTACTTAATTTTACTTGTTAATTGCCACTATATGTAATCTTCCTTTAGAGTCTGTACTATATTAGTGTCTGAAATAACTTCAAAATGATAAAACTAATATTTCCTTTACACATAAGAAATTTTTAAGGTAATAAATTCACATTTCTATAATATTTATAGATTTACAAAGTGCTTTAACTATAGCCTAAGTCAGACAGATGGCAGGCAAATACTAAGTAATCTGGGGATCATTAAAAAATTCCAAAACCTGTTCCATTTGATTCAAGAAAAAGTTCTGAATAACTTAGTACTGCTTAATAATAATAGCATTTATATAAGGCTTTAAGAGTTGCAAAGCACTATACACGTTATCTCATTTAGTCCTCACAATTCTGTGAAGGTAGGCAGTTATTATTATTCCCATTTCACAGACCAAGAAAGCTGAAGCAGAAAGGGTTAAGTGACTTGCTCAGGGCCACATAGCTCATGTCTCAGGCTGAGTTTGAACTCAGGCCTTCCTGCCTCTAAGTCCAGCGCTATATCATATAGTTGCCCAATTAGTATATATTGCTAGAAGATGAAGCAGGTTAGTCACCTTCAAGGTGGCACCATTAAACATACCTAGATAACACAGCAATAGCTTTCCTCTGTCAATCAACACGCTCCATTTCTGTTCTACAGAAATATTTTTCCTACCTATCTTAGTGTAAAAGATTCACTTCAGCAGCATTTTTCAAGCCCTTAGACAATGTCCTAGGAGTTGGGAATACAAAGACACAGGCTACCTTCTCAAGGAGCTTAGCTTCTATTGAGAGAAGAGGAGGAAGGGATAACATTAAGACAGATAAATAGACAGTCGTGTCACTGGGGACAATCACTAGCAATGGAAGAAAGCCTTGAGAAGTCCCAGGGAGTTACAGACTCCCCTAGATAAGTAATGGCATAAAACTACTAACGGCCAGTCACCTCCCTCAAGCTCCCAAAGCTTCATTTTCTGGCTTCACTCTCTTGGCTAGAAAAATCTGTTTTGCTAATAAGAGGAATGACAGAAATGCAGACCACTGACTCAAACTGTCACTTAAGAGTAACAGCTACAAGACAAAACTATGAGCTTTTTATTTGGGCGCAGAAGGGACTGCAGTGCTTTCGCAGGGATCATGGGAAGAAAGTCTGAGAATCAACATTGCAGAGGAACTAAAGTCTAAGACTACTGGTTTTTTTTTAGAGATTTAAAATTTTTTGCTTGTGTTTGTACATCTTGTTAATATCACTGGTACTTTTCTCTCTTTGGATAAATTCTTCCTGGTTTAGGAGCTGAACAACTGAGAAGACCGTTATGGTATGGTGGAAAGAGCACCCAGTTTTGGAATCAAAGCCTGGGTTCATATCCCTCGTTTTGACACTTAACCCAAGTGACCTTGGACAGATCATTTCCCTTCTCTTTGGCCTCAGTTTCCTCATATGTAGGATGAAGGAGTTGGACTTGATGGTCTGCAAGGTACCTGCCAACTCTGGATTCATGAACCACAGAATAACAATTGCTGATGTGAGGCTGAATTTAAACCAGAACTCAGGGATAAAATTCTGGCTAAAACCATTATCAATTTCTCAAAGTCAGAAAAATCTTTAGAAACTGGAGTACCAATGTCAACATAATTTCTCTAACTTTTTAAAAACTAGCATAATGGCAAAATAATTTTTTTTACATTCATATTAAACATATTTTCACATTAGTGATGGTGTAAGTAGAAATTAAAGCCAATAGGAGGAACCATCAGAAAGAGGAAACAAAACTCAACAGAAGAGAAAAAAAAAATAATAATTCGGCTTCCATAGTTCTTTCTTTGGGTGTGGATCGAAATAATATTTTACTCACACATTTAAGTTAGATAGTTTTGCCAATACTGAGAGGCAATATGATAGAAGGGAGAGAATAGTTGTAGTCGAAGGACCTGGGTTCAAAGCCTGGTCCTACCTCCTTACTACCGGTGGGACCTCATTGGGTAACTTACCATCTCTCTGCACCTCTATTCCTTCATGGGTAAAATGAGGGGAGTAGGGAGGTCCCTCTCAGCTCTATGATCTTGTGATGCAAGCAGGCTAACAATTGATTAACTTGCTCAAACATTATGATTCATCTCATCAAGTTACTCCAGAATATAAATGGACCAAAAACTTTTAACAAATGCTCATTTAACATGCAAAATTCATGCCAAAGTGGTTTTCATAATTTGTCAAATATCTATATGCTCTCTATAAAAAGGTCAACAAGATAATCAGACACCATCATTTACCTCTTGACTTAGCAGAATCCTCATCACTATGGCTGGGAGGATTCACGTCACTGTCGGAGATGTTGTGGTGTTCTGCCTCCTCCTCTTCAGTTTCCCCTGGGATTGTATCATAATTTGTTTAAAGAATTATTGGTACAAAGAGCTTACAGTCCAGTGTTCAAAAGCCTCAATTTGATTATGTTTCTAGGAAACTGAGGCATTTATCAATAGAGACAAAGTCCATTTTTTCATCACACTATACACAGAAATGCTTTTTTATTTATTATGCTTATTTTTTGTCATTGTTGCAATGTATATGTCAACTAATTTTTTTTTACCAAAAGGATCTTGGTTTTTTAAATATGACTACAGGTTAGTCATACTTCATAATTAACAGGAACACACGTGAGACGTGGTTTACAAATTCTGTCTGTGCCCTCGCTATCTATTTTGAATGCGCCAACCACACATGGCCTGCCACATCCATTTTGTGGTTCTCGAGGCGTCTATTACCTGAACAAACGAGAAATCTAAAAGATTAACTTCACAAAGCTTACCATGGAAACCACAGAGAGAACAAATAGACACTAGGTATTAGAAATGTGAGCAAGGAAAACTAAAAGCCTACAGTTTAATATATAACTGAGATTCTGATAAGACCAGTAAGCATGCCAATGAATGCTGGTCGATCAATCCAGATTACAGTTGAAAACGAGGACTCCAAAAGACTAAATATAACTTGTGACCTATTCAAAAACAGACTGATATGAAACCTTGGAATATATGATTTAAAAAATTATAGTAATCAAATTCTGGATATACCAGGAGTTTCTGGTTTCCCAGAACTAATTCATTTTGAGAAAGATACTACATATATATACAGAATGGTAACTATCAATTCCTAAAAACTATTTTTATTTATCTGCTCATTTGCACCTTGTAAAAGTATGCTGAAAAAGAAATGCATGCAAGCCCATGCAGACACCCACTCACCATCCCTTTTCTATGAATTTCGACCCCAAAGGACATTTCGTTTTCTTAGCCCAGTCTCTGGGTATAATATTACTTATAACCAGTATTAAATAGCTTGTGAGATAACAGATGCGTGAAGACAGTACCTTCTTCAGAGAAATCAACCTTCTGCATTCTAGTGACTCCTAGGGGAAGAAAAGAAAGTCACATTTAAGTTGAATGTAGTTTCAAAAGTTTCAACGGCCAAAAAAAAATAAATAAAGTTGCAATTATACCTAGATTAGTAATAATTATGCAAAGTAAAAATGAAGAAATATGAGTCTCATCACTCCAACATTTTCAGTTGGATAAACTATTCATGTTCTCCAGAGTTATTTCAAGACTCAACCAGAAATCTTTGCTAGGGGGCAGCTAGATGGCACAGTGGATACAGCTCTGGCCTTGGAGTCAGGTGGACCTGAGTTCAAATCCAGCCTTAGACATTTGACACTTACTAGCTGAGTGACCCTGGGCAAGTCACTTAACCCCGATTGCCTCACCAAAAAAAAAAAAAAGAAAAAAAAGAAAAAAGAAAGAAAGAAAGACATCTTTGCTAGGTGGCACAATGGATAGAGTGCTGGGCATCTAGAGTCAAAAAACCTGAGTTTAAATTTGGCCTCAGGTACTTATTAGCTGTGTGACCCTGGAAAAATCACTTGAATACTGTTGACTTCAGTTTTCTCATCTGTAAAATGAGGATAATAATAGCACCTACCTCCCAGAGGTGGTTGTGAGGATCAAATTAGATAATATTTGTAAAGTGCCGGCAACAGTGCCGGCACATAGAAGGCTTTATGTAAATGTTGGCTTTTATTATTATTAGATGTGTACTTGGCTGATTTAGAAATTGCCCTGGAGGATGCTTGTGATGACACTAACAAATTTTTGCTCCTATGGCATAACAGTGACAGCAATTCCCACTGATATGTTAAATTTCTGATTACAAAATGAGAAACTGAAGGAGTAAAGGGAAAAGTAATTAGCATAAAAATTAGGAATGAGAATATGTGCTGCTGTATTTTTTAGGGGCAGCAAGGTAGCACAGTAGATAAAAGTGTTGATCCTGGAGTCATGAGGATCTGAGTTCAAAGGTGGCCTCAGACACTTGCTATTGACACTTACTATCTGCGTGACCCTGGTCAAGTCACTTAACCCTGTTTGCCTCAGTTTTCTCATCTGTAAAATAAACTGGAGAAGGGAATGGCAAACCACTCTAGTGTCTCTGCCAAGAAAACCCCAAACAGGGTCATGAAGAGTTGAACACGACTGACTTATCTACTAAACAACAACGACTGTAGCATAAACAAGTTGGATTTTTAAAACAACTAGACAAGTGGCCAAAAGAACTGACTTTTCTGATGGAACTGTCACCGTCATCGACTAATGCATCACAAAGGAAGAGAGAAGACAAGTTTCTTGCAGGGTAAGCACAGGCTTATGCCTGGTGCTTCTCTCTGGATTGTTGATAGAACTTATTTGACCAAGAAAAATGAATTTACCTAATGGGCAAAAAATCCAGCAATTATAAATGAAGCATTTTATTTGAGTTGCAAGAAAAGCTTTTTTACACAATGCATTTTGTTTTTACATCACATTCATTACTGAATATATTCCTTCCCTCTCCTGTATATTTAATGAGCTTTTTCTTGTAGTAAAAACTAATGATACTAGAAAATTAATCAAGAATAAAGATGATCATTGATAGAATTTTTTGAAATCCTCCAAAAGCAAATATTTTGCCAGCCTATTTCTATTTCATTGCATATGCCTGAAAGTAACAAAACCATAATTTTTTATATATTTTTAAAAGATATAATAATTTAGATTTTTCCTTAGTTCAGACACTCAATCACCAAGTGTTTATTTAAGCACCTACTATGTTCTAGGTGCTGGGAATACAAATATAAAAATACAAAAACAATCCCTACTCTCAAAGAGATTACATTCTAACATAGCTGTTTAACTAGATATTCTCAAAGTATTCCATTGAGAACAGGATACTGGGTAGTGAATGAGGCTATTTAACAATGTATTATTTAACTGGCCTTATCTAGTTTTTAAATAAACCATTTTAAATTTAATAGAGTTAGAAATCCTATTTTAGTAAATAAAAATTCCAAGTCAAATCTGATATAGACTCTCATGCCAAAAATTAATTCCTATAACAGTTATGGTTAAATTTAAAATGCTATCTTATTACAAAGAATGAATTAACTTCTCATATTTCATAGCCCCTAAAGGTCTTCAGGAAGTATTTCTGGAATTGGTATAAGAAAGCTCACTCTGTAATTTTAGGATCATGATACAGCAATTCCTGGATACAATTTGGTCATTTGCTATAAAGCCATATTACAAATAGCGGTGGGAAAGATAATTTTGCCTGTATTTTAAAGACTCTTATGCAACAGGAGGCAGTGGCCAGAAACAAGAAAAGCATCATCCAACAGGCTAAGGTTGGGCTCAGAGCTCAGATTTAATGCAAGTTTCAAATGCAATCTCTGATTTAATGAAATTTACAAAAACTATTGAACAAATATAAATATTTAAAAGCAAACTGACCATGAATTGGCAACTTCTCAATCTAACTAAGTTTCAATTTCACTTCCCTAACAGCTATTCCAGCTTTCTATATTTTAACTTGCTTCTCTAATACAGGAAATAAAATTTGGTTCTTTTTATGATCATTCATAAGTTTTGTTAAATAAAAATCCTATTTGGGGACAAAAAATGTTCTTGACAAAAGAGAATTACAATTGTCTTAAGATATATTTTTTTAAAAATATTAAAATAGAGATTTCTAGGCTCTTCTAGTATCCTTATGGTGACTGACTTATAATGATTAAGGACAACAAAAAAATGGTGATTTTGTTGATATAATAATAATAATAGCATTTTATATTTACATAGCATTTATAAAACATTTATATATACTTCATGTAAGTGCTTTAAGGTTTGTAAAATACTTTATAAATATTCACTCAGTTAAAAACTCACACAACAACTTTAGGAGGTAGGTCCTATTATTATTTTCACATTACAGATATGGAAACAGATGCAAAGAGAGTGACTTGCCCAGGGTCACACAACTAAGTATCTGAGGCAGGATTTGAACTCAGGTTTCCTGATTCCAAGTCCAGTGCTTCCATCTCTAACCTCATGAGACTAACTCATAACTATCTTTTCCAGTGATATTCATTTTAATTCATCCTTTACTGCCCCAGCCAAAATAATTAAGAAGATAAGAGATGATTATGGTATATTCTTAGTGTTGAAACAAAGCTAAATAAATAGATCATCTGTTTAAGAAGTAATAGCTAAGAATTTGTAAGCCAAAGAACTTCCCATAACTACATACAAGTGTCTCACATTTCATCATAAAAGACATTCTTCATAACCTAGTGACTTCTGAGTTCCGCCAGAGGCTGTAGAGAGAGCACTGCAAGGGGAAAGGGAGGGCTTTAGCAAAAACAGAGGGCTTAGTTCAGGTCCCTGTTTTGCCTAGGGGTCAAACGCATGAGAATGATATCATAAAGGAAATCATGATGCAGTCCATAAAGAATCACTGTCAAAGACACTCTTCTAAAGCAGATGGATCCCAGAGGTCCAAGGGCACGGCATTTCTCTTGTCTCTGGACAAGAGAAAAAGCTATGGAAGAAACCATAGCTTTTGTGGAGACAACCTAGGAGTTGTGTAATAACAACAAAAGAGCTATCCAAAAACTGGAATGGAATGGCTTCCAATGGAAGGGGTTCTCAGCCTTCTACCCTCTGACTTCAAGCACAGGTCCATGGGGCTCATGGGCCACAGTTGGTCTGCTGTAGAAGAAATGCTTGTTCAAGTGGGGGTTGGTCTAGGTGACCTGTGAGGTACTTTCCAACTGTGGCTCTATGATGTATTTAATTGCATCTGAATACATTTTCATCATTCATATGAATGAATTTTTGTTTACTGACAATTTGAATGACCTACTACCCTTATTCTATTAGAGAAGATAACTTAAATTCAAAATCAACAAACATATACTAAAAACCTACTAGGGTAATAAGTCACTGTGCTAGGTACTGTTGTTAAAAGACTTTTAAAAATGACACAGTTGCTTGCCCACGGGAGATTACAATCTGTTGGGTGTGGTGAGGGAAGTAAGACACACAGCTAGATAGGTCAGGATGGGATGTGGGCAAAGGCAGACTCACAAAAAAGTGCTCTAGAAAAGTGTGAGGAGGGAGAGAGAATTTTCAGCTGGGGGCTAATATCAGAGGAGATGGAGATGTCACAGAGAAGATGGCATCCAGATAAGCCTTAAAGGAAGATGAGGATCTTGAAAAATAGAGTTAACATAGTCATTCAAAGCCCTCAGGATGGCCTAAACAAACGCAAGAAGACAAAGGGAAGCAGGAGTCCAGCACCGCTCTCAGTCCAGTCTGGCTAGATGTGGCCAAGTATATGAAGGAAAGTAACACAAAGGTTGGTTAAAAAGGACAGTTAAAAGATATGTTCAGTACTAGTCATGCCTTAAAGAAAAAAGTGGGTGTTTGTGTTTGGTGGGGGGTGGACCATGGGGACAGAATGGATACAACATTTGCGGAAATCATTTCCACTGAAGCTTACTGTTCCTATCATATATTCCTAGTCGCACTGGAACTAGGGTACAACTAATCAGGAGGCACCACTTCTGTGAATACTATAGAACAATTTTACTTCAGTGTTTTAAACAGTGACTTATATTTGTTACGGTTGTAAAGAATAGTTTAAAAAAAAAACCATTTGTAAATGCTCATCTGCAAAATAAGGGCATTGGAGTAGATGATCCTGAGGCCCTTTCTCAAAGGCCACTTTCAATGCTCAGTAGCCGAAAGAGGAAGGTTTTGGAAGAAAGCAACACTTTTGTTCAACTCTAAGCTGAGCTTCACACCAAAATACAGTTTCTTAAAGAAAATGCCAACCCTTTCCTTTTGTGACTCATTGCAAAATTAAGCTGTTCCATGATAAGAATCGAAACTAATGTTCCTAGCAGCTCCCCCAATGAAAGCAGCTTCACCTCAATGCAAGTCAGCCTGGCGGGATACAAAGAATCACAGGCTTAAAACTGGGAAGGGATCAAGGGAGTCAGCTAGTCCAAAAATTCTTGCTTAAATCATGAATCTTTTCTTCCAAATCACAAACACTTAGTTATCCAACTTCCTTCTGAAGCTAAAAGGAAACTCAATCACTTTCTGAGACAATATTATCAAAAAGTCAAATTGGATGAACTTCTGGGAAGGTTTTAGGTGGAAGAAATCATAGCTTCTACCCATCAGTCCAAGAACTCTTCCCCACGGCCCTCAGCTGACAAAGCCCAGCCCTTCCTCCTCATGGGGCTCTGCGACGTTTTGTGGTATTGGAGGACCTGGATTGTCATCTGAGCTCCGTCGGGTACCGCCTCACTGACCTCAAACAGGTGACTTCGCCTCTTCGTCTGTAAAGCAAGAAGGCTGGGCGAGATGCCTTTTTTTGAAGTCTAAACCCAAAACCTAAGCCTCGCTGTCCCTACCCCCCACTGCCAGGTCTTCTCCTTTTCAGATTAAACACATCCCAAGTTCCTTAAACTACGCCAAATGGCAGCTTCTGGTCCCTTTGTCATCCTGCTTGCTCTCTTCTCTGGATGTGTCTGTCAAAAGCCCTGCTAAGATGTGTCCCAGAACTGGCCACTGTACTCCAAATGGGGCCTGACTGGGGAGGCCACATTAGGACCGTCACCGCCCTCACTCTGGACATTAAGCTTCTTTTAATGTGGCATTAAATCATACGGGCTTTTTTGCTGGATGCAGCCTGCATCAGTAGATGCCTATTGAGCTACAGATTCAAGAATTCCTAGGTCTTTTCCATATTAGCTGCTTCCTAGCTAGGTCATTTACCCCTCCTTCCCCTCAATACGGTGAATATGAAAGAGGCTAAAATGAACAAAACGTTTTTTGTGTAAACTCATGAGTAGAAACAAAAGTTTAACAAACAAACTTGCTATCTCATACTTGCCTATTTTGTAAAGCTGAAACCAAAACTCACAAGTCAGGATGCTGTTGTAATAAAGAATATCTTATTCATGGTATAGTAAGCCCTCAAACCTCATTTATATTCATACAGCCACAAATCAGAACTTCCACAAAGAACAAATTAAAAGCACAGTCACCAACCTGTTTCCTTCATTTTAGTATTTCCATTTGTCCCAAACGAGGAGTAATCTGCAACAAAGAGCAAGAAATGATTACAGCCCAGAAGAAAATAAAGCCACACACATGGAAGCAAGAAGCAGTGTACTTCTAAAAAATAAAAAATGGTAGAATATACAATTTAAAAAGAAAAAAAGGAAGGAGCACATGGAGGCAGAAACCCTCTGAAAGGAGAGTAAGGTGCCTTTTCAATTCATCTGATATTAGTACAGTCACAGCATGACCATATCTTTTAGTACCAGTCAATATACTGACATTAAGTAAAGATATATGCTTATAAGGAATATTTCAGTGTTTTTTTTCCCACCAGATGGGAAAGCAACTCATAGCCAATACAATTATTGAAAAAGTTTTAGTTATAAAATACATGTAGCAAAGGCATATATATGATTACTCTGCATAAGATAATTTTATGGTTCTAAGACAAAATCTTCAACCTTTTGTTTTTCATTACCAAGATAACTAATAGAGACGAAAAGCTTTTTCTTAGTCTTAAAATCACCATAGTAATAAATGGAACTATAGAAACATACTGAAAATAAGCTCTTACCAGATCCTGAACTTTTTATAGGTGGTCTGCGAAGGTCAACAATAATTGCAGAATTCTCATTAGCTACTAGCATGGGAAAAAAATACATTTAAATGATTAGAAAGTAGTAAATATACCACACGTATGTGCTCTCCTCACTTCTAACCAACTCTAAATTTGCCACATGGTAAAGAATAATTCAATGTCAAAAGATCTGTGATTTAATACTGTATTTAAACCTGGGGTAGGTCACTTCACACTCTACTCCCCCCACACCCAACCTCCAATCAAACTGCCCTTTGCTAGGCTCGACCTTAGACAGACAACAGGCAGTCTTTGCTGTCCTGTGCTCAAAGCCTTTCCAAAGCTTGCCAGTGTTTATACTGTGTGGACATTTAACATCTCTATACCATGATGGGGAAAAAAAAGGGACAACAGTGAAGGAGCAATCCTACACTGATAAAGGGGAACACTGAATACAAGTCCTTTACTTTCCTCAACTCAAAAAAATTCTTTTAAATCCTAAAACGTGTAACTCAATACGAAATTTATCCGATATGTTTGTCACTATCTGCTTTACAGATTATCTATGGAAATTTTAAATTCAAGTTTGTTTTCCAAGTGCCTAGCACATTCTTATTCTACTTGATTAGCCTGAACACACTCAGGAAATGAAACTTAATTTTAATTATTAAAATTTTAATATTAAGTTAGGGGAAACAGCATCAGAAAGGTCGTTTGCTCAAAACAAAACAAAACCGGCCCCTCCCCCCAATTTAAAGTATTCTCAAACCCAATATAACACATCTCTTAGTTTAGCTAATGCTTTACATTAATCATTAGCATTTAAGAAACCATCAAATACCTTTCTTCTATATGAATTTTTGCCAAATACTATCCTTAAAGTGCTATTCCAGCACTTCAATGAGTCAAGTGGGTGGTGCAATAGTTAGATCACTGGACCTGGAGTCAGGAAGACCACAGTTCAAATCCAACTTCAGACACTTACTAGCTATATGATCCTGGGCAAGTCATCAGAATTCTATCTACCTCAGTTTCCTCAAAACTGCAAAATGGGAATGATAATAGCACCTATTCCCCAGGGTTGTTTTACAGATCAAATCAGAGACTGTTTGTAAAGTGCTTAGCACAGTGCCTGGCACAGAGTTGGAGCTTAATAAATGTTTGTGTTTCCTTCCTTCCTTCATTATGGCAAGGGGATTGATTTCGGGTTCTTATGGCCGGTGGAATGCAAGATCTGCTAAGCACTATCAATCTGCAAAGGCTTCGCGTATAAACCGATGATGACCTGAAGACCGGTTCACATCAGTTTGGCGAGATTCATCACCAAGCTGGCTTTACTTCAGGGTGATGAATTTTTTGGCTGCAGCAACTGTTGTAAGACCTTCTAAGAATAGGTTCTGCACTGACTGCGTCACTTCCCTAGTTCTACAGCACAGATAACTGAGTTGAATATACATAATTTAAAAATATATATCCTTTATATTAATATTTTTCATTAAACTGAAATGTTCAACTAAGCAACATTAATTAATAATCTATTATGTACCTTATTCTGTGCTAGATGCTGAAGATACAAAGAGGAGAAATGGCATCAGCTCTGAATAGGGGATCTGACATAACTATAAGTAAGTAACAGGCAGAACATGATAGGAAGAAAGGAGGGAGCCAGAAAAACTTAGTTCACTGCAGAACACTTTCGGCTCCATAACAACATGGCTCCAACCTACCTTTGTGATGCTTGTTTCACGTTAACTCCTTTCTACAAATGCTTTCTACATTCTTGACAAATAGCCTACATGGCATTGCTATGACAATGCATTTATACAGGCTGTTCACGGCCAGAAGAGGCTCCCACCTCTCCAATGCCTCATGGAGTTCTTGGATTCCTTCAGGGCTCAGATCAGAGCCACCTCCACATGAAATCTTTGCTGTTTTCTCCAGTCTCACTCCCCTTCTCTAATTACCTTGTATTTTCCTATCTTTGGATAACAAAATAAGATAATAAGACCAGATACCTCGAGTTGGAAGAGATTATCTAGTCCAACCCCTCGATATTATGTAGAAATATCAACTCCCTAATGACAGGGCTTATTTGCTTTTTATCTGTGTATCACCAGCACCTAGCACGGTGCCTCATATATATTCAGAGCTTAATAAATGTTTTTCGAACCGAACTGGAGGAAGTAGCACCTGGGTTGAGCTTTGAAGGAAGAATTTCTTTAGTAGGCAAAGCTAGAAAGGGAGTGAAGTTCAGGCCTATGGGAAATGTGGATAGTTTACACAAATGCATGGAGGTGGAAGGATACAGGACAAGACGGAAGAAAAGCTTGTAAGTCATCCTACGGGTATGTGTAGGAGAGTCGTGTAAAATACTAGTAAGGTAAGTTGGACCCATATTGTAGAGGACCCAAGGATTCAATTATTGTCTATGTTAATGGTTCTCCAATCTACTTATTTAGCCCTAACCTCTCCGCTGTCCTCCAGTCTTGTATCTCCAACTTCCTACTGCGCATCTCAAACTGGATGGCCTGAAGACACCCGAAATTCAATATGTCCAAAACTGAACTATCTCTCTCCCTGAGCTCTCGTGTTCCCAAGCTTCCCTATTACCGTTGAGGGTACCACATCCTTCCCAGTACCCCAGGCTCAAAACTTAGGTATCATCTTTGACTCCCCACTCTCTTACCAACCCTCCCCACCCCATACAAAATCTGTTGTCAAGTCCTGCTCTTTGGACCTTTGTAATATTGCTCATATATGCCACCCCCCCCCCATCACCTCTTGCCTGATCTACTGAAATAGCCTACTGGTTGGTCTCTCTGCTACAAGCCTCTCCCCAGTTCAGTTCAACTTCCACTCAGTTGTCAAATTGATCTTCCTAAAAAGCAGCTCTGATCATGTCACACCTCTGCTCAATAAACTTCAATGCCTCCCTATTATCACCTTCAGATCAATTATAATATCCTGTTTGGCTTTCAAAGTCCTATATAACCAGGCCTTTTCCCTATCTTTCCAGTCCTCTTTACACTTTACACTCCCCCACATACTCTTTGATCCAGTGACACTGGCTTCCGTGCTGTTCCTTGCACAAGACCCTCCATCCCCTGACTGCAGGCATTTTCTATGGTGGTCCCCAGGCCTGGAAGGCTCTCTCTCCTCACCTCTACCTCTTGGCTTCCCTGGCTCCCATCTCCAGCACTTAGTACCTGGCACATAAGAGGTGCCTGGGACATAATAGGTGCTTAATAAATTTTTACCGATGTCAGAGTTTGCATTGTGCTCCACTGGCAATAGGGAGCCATTGAAGTCAGAGGTGCGACATGGTCAGATCTATGCATTAGAAAGATTTGGGCAGCTGTGCTAAGGATAGATGGAAGACAGGAAAAACTCTAGGCTAGGGAGCCTATTTTGGAGGCTATTACAATGGCCCAGCAGAGAAGGGATGAAGGCTTGACTGGATTGAGGTGGAGGAAGTACAAAAATGCCACATGAGAGATAATGCATGGGTCAAATCCACAGAACAAAGTAGATTTAACTTTGTTCTCAACAGGGCTTTTAACCAGCATTCCACAGTCTATTTTGAGTCCCATTTCAACTCTTTCAACCCCACATTTCGATGTGCCTAGGAGTTCTAGAAGTAATTCTGAAAGGAAGCCTGTACTTGTGAAAATGAGTGGAAACTGACTGAGAGTACTCCTAGTTAGTGACCATTCCTCTCCTATCTTACTAGGCAATCTTCCCTATTACTACTGCCCCCCCCCCGCCGACTTTAAGGTTTTAGGAAACACTTTTAGGTTCAATTAAATATAATACTCAAGGTATATATGCCTTCTTTGCTCTCTTTTTTTCAGAGCTGAGCAACCGCTTTAAAGAGTACTTTTCAATTAGATTACCTCCAATCCACAGCTATCAATTCAACAAATATTTAAATGAGTGGTTACTGTGCATATGCTTACAGTGCCCAGTGTTGAGGAATGATTTACAGAAGCAGTATACAGTTCTCTCTCATGTAGAGGTGGTGTGAGGATGGGGATCATTAGCAAACATCTCATTAGAGAGTTAGGAAAAGAGGACAATGGAGACATCAGCTCTGGCTGAAGTTGAGGTGGTTAGGGAAGTAGGGAGGACTCAGACTCTAGAATGCCCAAGAAGCTGGGGGAGAAGAAGAACAAGGGGGTCAGATTTCAGGCCCTGAGCTTGAGTTCAGTCAGTCCTCAGGGTGATTTACTATGGTCACCAGTGGTGGAAAGACTCACTTCCATATTACTGAAATACTCTTGTTATCTTTCCTATTGAGCCCATCTACAAGTCTGCCTAGAAGAGAAATGAGAAAATTTATTATTTCAAGGCTTAGTTGATGGGAAGGCAGCATGGTACAGTGAAAGGACTCTGGGGCCAGAAGGTATAGGTTCAAATGCCTATGGTTTTATGCCTATTCCTTTTTCAACATTAGGCAAATTACTCAATCTTCCTGGGCCTCAGTTCCTCATCTGTAAAATGAGGACGTTGAACTAAATGATGTTCTGAGGTTCCTGCAAGCTCTAAATCTATGCTCCTCTGACTGGAGACTCCCTGGGAATTTCAGAGAGTGGGTTCTACCTCTGGCCCTCTATCCACTTTGAACCCATTTCTTATTTTCTACACACCCCGCCCCTACTCTGATTCCTTAGAAGTGTTGTCTTTCCCTATTAGAATGACAGTTTCTAAAGAGCAAGGACAATATTACTTGTTTGTATATATATCCCAGCACTTAAAGCTTTTTCTTTTTTTCTTTTTTTTTTAAGGGCAATTTGGGTTAAGTGACTTGCCTAGGGTCACACAGCTAGTAAGTGGCAAGTGTTTGATCTGAGGCTGGATTTGAACTCAGGTCCTCCTGACTTCAGGGCTGGTGCTCTATCCACTGTGCCACCTAGCTGCCCAATAAAAGCTTTTTCATTCATTTGTTTATTCCTCTAAGGCAGGGGTTAGTACCCGTTTTGGTGGCACAGACTTCTTAGAATAACATTTTTAAATGCATAATATGAAACATATAGGATTACAAAGGAAACCAATTATACTGAAATACAGTTATTAAAATATTAAGATATTTTTAAAATATCTGATTACGTAAAATATCTGGTTTCCCAGATTTAAGTGATAATATAAACAGATGTATGTATCATTTTGGCCAAAGTCTGGGAACCAATTTGGTGTCAGAGAGCTGGTGAGGCTTTGAAGTATGTATAACATTAGTAATAATAAACTTGCATGCTCTAAAGCAGGGGTGGGAAACCTTTGGCCTCCAGACCACACGTGGCCCTCTAGGTCCTCAAGTATGGCCCTTTGACTGAGTCCAAACTTCACAGAACAAATCCTTTTATTAAAGGGATTTAGAGTCTAAAGCATCCCATCTCATTTGATCCTTACAGCAACTCGGCGTGACAGGCAATACAAGCATCATTATCCCCTCTTTATATATAAAAAACTGAGGTTTACAGAGACAATCTTTACAGAACTTCTGTTGGAAGAACTCTCAACGGCACCTACTCTAATTTAACCTGAATGAGAAGCCCCTCAACAGCACCCATGACCAGTGGCCATTCCATCTTTGTCTGTAAGATTTCCAATTTGAGTAGAAGGGAGAGTAGAGTTAGAGGTGCAGTTGAAAGAAAACCAACAGTGACAAGGGTTGTCCACTCTACTTTTAGGGAGTTATTATTGTTAATAGCCCTCACCTTGGGTTAATGAGCAGCGGAGTGCCCAGATCTGGACCCAAGCTTTTGGATCTCGGGTCTGCTGCTCTTTCTATAACAAAACAACCCTGACTAAATAGTCACCTTACGTATCGGTCACTCTCCCCAAGGCTCTTCTCCTCTTCTCCCATAGTCTCTCTACCTCTTTGATCATCACATGGAACTGATTTTTTCAAATATCTCTTGTACTTATTGAATTCTTTCTATGCTCCGTGTCCTTAATTTAATAATTACTGAGTTGAATATTTTATTTTCTCTGAGAAAGAAAAATATTAAATTTTGCTGCTTTACATAGGAAGGGATGGAAATTGAGATCCTCTCTATGATTCTCATGTGATCTTGATTTTTTTTCCCTGCAGGTCAGTTGCTCCAGGTAATTAAAGAGTAACATTATGTAATAAGCTTGTAGGAAGATTAATCTGGTGGCAGTGGGGAGACTGTTGCATTAACGCAGACACGAGAAGATGAAAACTTGAAGAAGGTAAGGCAGCAGATGAAATGGGAAGGGTGGAATGTGACAGATTTCTGGGTGGAATGTGACAGATTTTTAAGGAAGAATTATTAGGCTTGTTGACTATAAAGGAGGACTTTTGATGGTATATGGAGGGACAGGAGGAAAGATTCAATTATTACTTAAATTTTTTGAGCCCAGGTACCTCAGAGAATAGTGGTGAAACTAACAATAACGCATTTGGCTTGGTGTATGTAGAATTTGAGTTGTAAATAACAATAACAACAACACCAATAAGCATTACATAGCTTTTTAAAGTTTACAAAGTATTTTACATATATGGAATCATTTGATCTTCACAACAACCCAAGGGGGCAGGTGTTCTCACTACTCCCATTTTATATGTGAGGAACCTGAGGCAGAGGGAGGTAGAGTGGTTTTCGGGGAATCACATGGTTAATAAGTCTTGGAGGCCACATCTGAACTCAGATCTTCCTGACTCTAAGTCTGGCACTTCGGATACCGTGCCACCAAGTGGAAATGCTTGTCTACAATTGAGCAGTAGAACTTGTGGTAGGACTTTAATATGCAAAATTAGCTCAATAAATAATTCAAATTTAAAACTTGGGGGAAATAAAAGGATGTTAACATTCAAGCCCAGATAAGAGATGTTCAATAAAAACACATTGATTATTTAACTAGAAAGCAACAAAAGTGTATAAATCTCAACTAAAGTCCTATTCAGACATTTTGTTATAAAACAGAGCTGACTTTGGATTTTCATCAAAAGCTACACTAAGGGAGTACAAAGTTTAGTTGGCTCTACCAATCTAGAAAGGCTTTAAGTACAAGATGCCAATGAATTGTGGCTACTGTCCAAGGATCAGCACAGAGTGGCTTATCACTGGAAGACTAACAATTAGGTGATGAATATTCTGGGCCACAGCAAGTCACAGAAACAGTTTACTAAGGCACAGAGGGATTCCAATCTGCATTGGTGGGTAGAGGTCCCACACTGAAAAAGCTATGAAGTACAAGTATTTACATTAATAACTCTAAAAAGATTCTCCAAATTATTTTGTTACGTTGAAATTTTGCTATACTGATCAAGTGAGTCACATATGCTAGGAATCAAAATTCTAAAGAATTTTCTATTGTTATGATATAGACAGCTAGGTATTACAGTGGATGGAGCTCAGGACTTGGAGTCAGGAAGACCTGAGTTCAACTCCTGCCTCACATTTACTAGTTGTATGACCTTGGGCAAATTACTGGACCTCAGCCTCAGTTTCCTCATCTGTAAAATGGGAATAATGATAGCCACTACCTCCCAGTGTGGCTGTGAGGGTGAGACAATATTTATAAAATCTTTTGCAAACCTTAAAGCAATATATAAGTGCTAGCGGTTATTATTATCATTATTAGCTGATGTGGGAACTGACTGCTCTTGATGACACAATGCTGTTATGCTGGATAACGCAGCATCTTTCAAGAAGAGAACACAATGTGTATCATCATCATGTCGTGTTTTACTCTGTCAATCATCGATCCTTACTGGGAAAATGACACAGCATTTGTTATTCTAGTTCTTCTTCAAACTTCCACTTACGATAATAATTGACAGCAAACATTTATATAATGCTTTAAGATTTTCAAAGTGCTTTATATATAGGGACCGATGCATTTGGTCAGACTTGAATAAGAGAATGTTTTTCTGTAGCCACTCAGTAATGTATTTCAGTCACCCACTGGCCAAGGATAACAATTTACAGTTTTAATAATTGGCCTTCTTTATTCTGAAGTAGGACTTAAGTTGGCTCCACTATAAGATAAATTTAAAATTGCATAGGTTTTGTCAAATATTATCTTGCTAATAAAACTAGATGAAGCATTTTATTAAAAAAAAAAGATCAGCAAAAAAGTTAGTCAGTAATGGGTCTGTGAGATCCTCCAACTAAACAAACATAGATTAGCCTTCTTTCATTATCTACCCACTACCCTGTATCATCTCATTACATCTATAAATCCTCATTTTCTCTGTCTAGTTCATCAATGACTACATTCCAATGGTCTAGTAGGATGTTCTTTGTTAGCATTATCAGTATTATCATCAGGAAGCAGGAAAAATATTTGCAAGTTTTTTTCAAAATACACTTAACAACAAAATAGGAAGATAGCGATGGTATTTAAATGCAAAGCAACATCATAAATGCAGTCAAACTCCATCTGGAATAATGTGTCTAGTCTTCTGGGTGCCATAGTTCAAGAAGGACAATGTTAAGCTGGAGAGCGTGCTAGGCCAGAAATCATACATATTCTGAACAATCAACTTTAAGAGACTTGATGCAGTCAGAAAAGCAGACTTTTCTCACCTGTAATCTCTTGTAGTCTCCTGATTGATTTTTTTGAGACTGTCTGGCTCATGATGGTTTGGGAAGATGGTTCATCCTCTAAAGAACAAAACATGTTAATAGTTAAAACAGAGAGAGAAAGAGAGAGAGAGAGAGAGAGAGAGAGAGTGTGTGTGTGTGTGTGTGTGTGTGTGTGTGTAAAAACACAACACACCCATTCAGGTGCCACCTATTTAATGAAGCCTAATCCCTGGGCTGAAATCATTGCTCTCTCCTCAACATTTTTTTTAAACAAAACTTCATCTCTACCTTGCTCTATCACATTCCACTTTGTATTATATTTATTTGTTATATGCCTCATCCTCCTCCTTAAGGAGAAAAACTGTATAATTTTTCATGTATCTGTAGCTCTTAAGTGCCTTGCACATAGTAGCTGTTGAATAAATAACTGCTGAATGCAGTATCTTCTGCACTTATGTTAAAATTTTAAAGATTTAAATGTTAATGTTTTAAAGTTACTTCTCTAAATGTCTCCTGCAGGGCCACAAACTAGAAGGCTTTATTCACTTACATTCTTTTTAGCACCTAGCACAATACTTTGCACACAGTGTAGGCACTTAGTAAATTTTAATTACATTGAGGTTAAAAAAAAGTCAGAAACACTGCAAGTAGTAGTGAAGACATATGAAAGTGGTCAGAAAGAGTAACTATTTCTATATATTGAGGTTTACTAGCAAAGTATGTAGAAGTAGTACTAAAGAAGTGAAACTAGTATTTTCCTCTGGAGGCTCTATGTGTACAAGAAGGATGGGCTACAATCTGCACTGAAGGACTACATGCTTAAGTTGGTGAGATGAAGGATCCACTAAAGAGTAGAAAACAGTAATTCTTTTACTTTTCTCATTCAATGACTACCAATTGAACCACTCACTATGTGCACAGGTGCTGGGGGGTAAGATCCAGAAAAAATGATAGGACCCCAGCCCTGCCCTTAAGTGTGTGATCTTGCTGAAAACACACACACACACACACACACACACACACACACACACAAATTAATAAAATATTTTAGAGAAAACATACAAAATGTGCAATAATCATGCAAACTTGGGTGATGATCTCTAAAATCAACAAGCTTTTAAATGTCATCAAATGCCCATAAAGAATAATATAGCTCACATTTATAATGAACTTTACTCCCAACACCCTTTTAACAGACAATAAGGCTGAAGAATGGATCTGGAGTTTTATCCATTATGACAGAACTTGGGGGAGGGGGCTACTCCCTCTAACAATTCAGGGCAGCATTCTACCTTCTTGGCAACTTACAGTATTAGAAAGCTGCCTAGAGTACTGAGGGGTTAAATGACTTCCAGGGTCACAACGTCAGTTTATGTCAGAGGAAGGACTTGAATCGCATTTCCTGGCTTCAAGGCCAGCTGGACAGATATCCACTACCTCCCTTTGCCTATCATGATGTAGATAAGGCCTATACTTATTTTCATTCTACTTATGATGAACTTGAAATTGAGGTCCAGAAATTCCATTAGACAGTGAACTCCTTGAGGACAGGGACTGTTTTTTGTCTCTTTTTGCTTGACACATAGCAGGAGCTTGACTGACTGACAAATCAGGTTGAATCAGGGGTGGGAAGCCTTCGGCCTTAAAACCACATGTGGCCCTCTAGCCTGAATTTTGGCCTTTTGACTGAGTCCAAGTTTTACAGAACAAATGCCTTTATTAAAGTCAGTCAAAAGGCCACACTTGATGACCTAGAGGGCCACATATGGCCTCAAGGCTGAAGGTTCCCCACCCGTGGGTTAAAGGATTTGCCAAAATGATCTTCATAAAGCACAGGTCATTCTCCTACTCAATAAACTTCAGTGGCTCCTTACTACCTTCAGGATCAAATATAAAATCCTTTGGTTTTTAAAGCCCTTTATAACCTGGCCCCTTCCCACTTTTAAAATCTTATACTTTACTAGCCCCCACAAGATCAGACACTACCAGCCTTGCACCTATTCCTTGGGCACAATTTCTCTTCTCTGTGCCTTTTCATCTCCTGTTCCATATTACTGGAATGTTTTTTCTCCTTTCTGCCTCTTGGCTTCCTTCAAGACTCAAGGTCCAAATCCTATCTTGTGAAAGTTGCCTTTGCTGCCCCCTCCCCTCAATACAGTGACTTCTCTCTGAGATTACTTCCAATTTACCCTGCAAATATATTTTTATGTTAATAATAGATTTTTATCTTGTACTTTGATAGTGGTTTACATGTTGTTTCACCAATTAAAATGTGAGATACTTGATGGCAGGGGCTGTTTTTAATTTTTCTTTGTATCCCTAGCACTTTGCACAGTGGCTGGCATATAGTAAGTGCTTAATAAATGCACCAATCAATGCAACTTATCACATCACCTTGTAATTCAACCAGTGTCTGTCAAACCTCAATGGTGACTCACATCCTTTGCATGACATTTTGCCTATGAGTCAGTGTCAACCCCCACACCCCCCCTCCACACACACACACACACACACACACACACACACCACACACACACACACACACACACACACACACACACACACACACCCCTTGGGGTAATTGGGGTAATTCCCTACCTCAACTGTACCTGGAATTACAAACCCAGGTGTATCCCCCTCCTCTCCTCCATACACTGGCACTTAGCACAATGCCTGACATAACAGGCACTTAACAGATGCTTCCTGACTTGAGTTCACCTTGTGTCAGGTTTCTTCATAACCAGAGTGGGTTCTCATTTCTCCTTCTCTTCCTTCTCAACCATGGGGACCCCTCTTCTGCCACCCCCCAAATATTCCAGGGCAAGGTCATATTATTTTAGGAAGGAGATCTCATAAAGAGGAAAGGGGTATTAACTCAAGTTTACCAGGTCTAGTGAAGCCGGCCACTCCATCTCCATCCTCGGGCATTTTCATTGGCTGATCCCCATGCCTGGACCGCTCTTCCCTCCTCATCTCAGCCTCCGGGTTTACTGCCAGTCCCCGCTAAGACCCCATCTTCTACTAGAAGCCTCTCCTGGTCCCCCTTAACGCTAGCACCTTCCCTCTGAGGATCATCTCCAGTTTCTCCTGCTCTTGTTTGTACCTATTGTTTTCGCGCTGTCTCCCGTCTGACTGTGAGCTCCTTGACAGCAGGGATGTCTTTTGCCTTTCTCTGATTCCCCAGCGCTTAGCCACATAGTAGGCTGGCACATAGTAGGCGCTCAGGAAATACTTATTGACTGGGTCCAAGAGGTCTCTCAAGAATCAAGACAAATGTCAAAATTCTCACTGAGCCTGGGGTGGGGCCAATGCCCCCCGTCAAGCAGAACCCAAGTGCCCGTGCTCTCCCACTCTCCGGGGGCTACTGCCCCCCTGTGCCCCCTCCTCTCTTTTCTTTCTTCCTCTACGGAAGGTGGGGAAGGATACAGGTGGGGGTGGGGTCACTAGCCTGAGCATCCAGGGGACCCTTCGCGGGGGAAACGCGCCCGGGGAGCCCCGGCGAGGTGGGGGGCTGCTGAAACGGTTTGTTCCGTCTATGCCATCCCAGCCCCTCCTTTGTCTCCCTACCGGGACGGCCCGCATCCTCCGCGGGACCCTGGTGCCCATCCCGCCCCACCAGCTCCCGAGTAATGCCCTCCTCCACCTTGGGTCTCCCAGCCGGGAGCTCATCCCTTGCGAGAGGCCGACAGGGCGCGAGAAGAGGACCCCCCGCAGGGCGCGGAGTGGTGCCCACCCGAGGCGGGAAACCTCTCTCCCACCCCGGGCGCGCGCGCCTCTCCAGCCCGTTACCTCGGCGGCGGCGGCCAGCGCCTCCGCCGCCCTCACCTTCCGAGGACTGCAGGTCCCGCAGCCCTCTCCTGGTAGTGGCCGGCGAGGGCTGCGGCGGTGGCTGAGCCTCCTGCTGCTGCTGGAGCCGGGTCGCTCTCCTCGTATTCATCTCTCCAGGTCGCGAGCGCGAGAGATGAGCGTCCTGCCGAGACCTAAGGTAATAATAGGCTCTCTCCTCCACTTCCTCTTTCTCGGGCACAGGGCGGAACTCTTGTGTCTGGGTCCGCTTTTCCACTCGGGCACTTCCTCTGGACGCAAGCGGCTCGAAGTCGCCGTACACTTGGGGCGGGAGCTCGGAGAACCTCACTTCCCGCCGGCGACTGCGTCGAGCCGAGGGGCTTCCGTACGCGAGCACGTCCCTTTCGCCGCCATCTTGAGGGGCGAGCGGGCGTCTCCCTTGTCGTAGCGGGGCCCTGGGCGTGACGTGCGCTGCCCAGCCCTCGCCTGCCATGGTCCGCGGGCCTGGGCCGGCCGGCCGGGTCCCTCTCCGGAACGGCGGCGGGGGCTCCGCGCCCGTCACGGAGGCAGCTGGGAGTGGCCGGGACCGCCGCCGCCGCCGCTCTCGTCGCTGAAGCCGCCGCGGTGTCCGGCCTCCTCTGGGCCCATGGTAGCTCCCGAGGGTTGTGAGGCAGGCAGTGCCGGGGCTCGGTCAGCTGCTGCTGGCTGGGTGTCACCCCCGCCCTCCTGGCTGGAGGCCCGAAAAAGGAGGAGAAGGGAGAGCCTGGCCCTCCTGCTCGGGGGGCGGGGAGGGGCTCAGCCGTAGGCTGAGGCGCCGCATTCCTGAGCCCGGCCGCCTCGTCCGAGCCCTTCCCGAGGCTCTCCCCGCCGGGAAGCCACGGTTAGGGGGAGCCGGGAGAGCCGGCACGCGCCTTTAAAGGGCCAGCCTGCGTTATTACCCTTCCCTCCCCCATTTTGTTAAATCTGAACAGTCAACAAAACTACTGGTTTGTGGCATTAAGTGCCCACGCTGACCGTTCCACCGTCGGCTGGAGCCGATAGGAGCCGGTTCCGTCACCCCCGAGGCTCTGTTGCCCACCTCCTGACTCTGGTGAAGGGTTCGGACGGAGAAGTTGATGTTTTTGGACATGAATAATTCGGGGATTCATTTTTTGCTTTAACTTCAACTTTGCTTTAACCCCCCCCGGTAAATTAGGGGTGGGAGTGGGAGAGGAAAAAATTGTTAATTGAAAAAATAAAATAAATTTGTAAAGTGGAGCTGTGTATGTCCTATCGTGGTGAAATGTTTGTATTTTCAGTCACTTAGTGAAAGCAAAAGCTACTCGGTTTTTGACGTTGAAGTCGACCATCGTTAAGAATATGGGAAATCTCTACCCGAAGAACGAAAGCAATATTTGAGTAATGCAAGAAATGAAAAGAAAGTTTATCCGCCAACCACATCATGATACTAAAATGATTCTGAAGAGGCTTGCTTGCAAATTTGCCAGCGGATTACAGACAGAAAACATTTGTAAAACTAGGTGCTTGGTACCGTGGAAAGAGTCGGAGAAGCTGACTTAAGATGACTTGTTCTGCAGCTTGACTACTTTCACTTAGTCCTGCTGGGCACCTCACTTCCTCATCTTTAAAATTAAGAGGCTGTTTACATTCCTTCGAGCTCTAACTCTGTGATCTTTTTGGAAACTGACATTCTTCTAATGTGAAATTAAGGAGTGCTTTCTGCTTCCTTAGCGCCTTGGTAAATTCAGCTGTACGCTATTTTTTTTCTTCCTTTTTTAAATCTGCATTTATTAAGTACCGAATCTGTGCCAGAAACTAGAATACAAAATGTTAAAAACTAGGTAGAACCAAAATAGTAAATAATCTACATAACACCATAGTCATATTGAACAGAACCAATTTGAAATACTGGAATGGGGTAGTCATAATTTGTGAAAAACCTCATGTCTATTAAAAAATTCTGTTTTAAGGACACAGTGACTAGCAGTACCTCTGAGGCCAGGGAACATGATTTAGTGAATAAAGGATTTATGTTTAGAGTATCAGATTTATATATGTGACAAATCCTTGCGTATGCTTTGAAATTAGTTTAAGGAATTTAAAGTTATTGCAATCTTGTTTAAACTGCTCCTGGTAAATATAAACCTCAATATCTCAACTTTTGTTCAGATAATCATAAATTCAGAATTAGTACATACAAACCTTGCTGTTCTATGGTTTTTATCACAAATAAAATATAGACTATATAGCATTGGCAAAGGATATTCTTTGTGTTAGGTAATGTAATACAGGGACATAATAGTGTCCATGATAGTACTTTTTTTTTTTTTTTTTTAAAGGCAGTTGGGGTTAAGTAACTTGCTCAAGGTCACACAACTAGTTAGTGACAAGTGTTTGGTCTGAGGTCGCATTTGAACTCAGGTCCTCCTGACTTCAGATCCGGTGCACGATAGTACTTTTTAAAATCTGTAACTCATTTTTTTACATGTTTGGTATGAACACTAGTCTGCAGTAAAATAGAACAAAAGACAGAAAAGGGAAGAGCACTAAGAAAGAAAAAGCTCTTGCTTTTTGCTTTTTATTGAAACCTTCAGGAAAGGGAAAATGAAAGTGGTCTATTTAAGGGATAGATAACATGAGACCACAAGTTTTTTTTTTTTTGCTGCTTTTAAAATTATTTAAAAGTACAAAATAAGTAGTTAATTAGGATTTGGTATTTTAGAAATCTCTTCTAAAAAGAGTATATTATTAACATTAAAAACCCACTTATTAGTTGACTATAAAATATTAAATTACAATGTGTATAATAAATGATCTACTGAATAGACATTGTCAAAAGAGCCCTCAAGGGCCTCATTTTTTTTTTAACAGGTTAATATAAGCAAAAATAATAGAGGTATGAAAAACTTACCTTTGGGCCCTTTTTGTTGTGGAGGGTATTTCCTTAATTTCTTTTATGTGGTCTAGAAAGGAAGGGGTTCATCTACTATTCTGCTTACTGATGCACTGCCAAAAATAGTTTAAGAATGGCTTCCTCAAAGAAATGAAACTTTTAAAAAAGAAAAGGCATAGATAATTTTAGGCAGAAGTTTGCTTGTTTTCGACCTTGATCTACCTGGGAGGACCACTTGTATCCTGGCCCCTCCTCTGTTTGTGAGGTGGCAACAGAAGCTACAGATGCCCAACAACATAATGTGTTTCACCCAGCAACCCCTTAAAGCTCAGTCTAGAGAAAAGTTTTAGTGACAGAGCTGTCCAGCGGTGGAATTGGCTGACTTCAGGAGTGAAATGCCTATTGAGATGATAGATTTAGAGCTGGAAAGGACTTCAGAGGCCAAATAGTCCAACCCCTTATTTTACAGATAAGGAAACAGGAGAGATCACGTGGCTTGAAGGTTTACAGGTAATCAGAGATGATATTTGAGCCCGCAGCCTCTGATTCCAGAGCGAATGTAATTTGTGTACCCTACCAGAGAATTTATCTCTTAGGTTTGTGGAAGAGATTCCTTCATGTCAGATTGGTTTAAGATCAAAATAAACTTGTCATTTTAGTTACCAATCGCTGAAAATTACTATAACAAACCCTAATAGGGGATTGGCTAGGATCTGTAGTTCTCCATTGGGAAAGACTGCAATCCCTGTTTCTCTTAAATTGGGAAGAACTAAAAATCTCAGTGGATTTTGTGGCCAGCTAATCCCTTGCTAGGGGTTGTTTGATTACAATTTTGAAATATTTCTTAGTAAAGTGCCTAGAATGTCAGAGAAAAATTTCAGCTTTTAAAGCACTGAATTAAATTCCATTCTGAACTTAAGAGGGACACTGCTGTCTCCCCAGTCATTCAGGTTCAAAACAGTGTTTGCCTGGCCGTTTGTTATTCCTCACTCTCGTCCCTCATACTCAATCTGTTGTCAAATCTTGTCATTTCTACCTTTGTGACATCTCTCATACATCAAATTTTCTCTACTCATACAGCCAGAACTCCAGTTCAAGTCTCTTCTCAATCCAATCTATCTCTACTCAACTGCTGGAGTAGTTTTTTTCTAAAGTATGGACCTAACTCTGACACAACATTGAGTTCTGTGGCTCCCTCTTCCAAGATCAAATTAAAGATTTCAGTTTGGCTTTTAAAGCTCTTCATAATCTGTCCCCTTCCCCTTTAAAATTTTACACTTTATTCAATTCTACACACAATGTGATCTCACTACACCGACCTTAAAGTTCTTTGGTCATGACCCTCCATCTCTTGTTACCATGCCTGGCAGTCAGTCTCTCATTCCCTCGGACCTTAGAGATGGCTGCCATTAGACACAAATAGGTTTATATGTGTAAAATTATTCTATACATATGCTATCAGTTCTTTCTCTGGATGCAGGTAAAATCTTTTTTCATATATCCTTTTTTTAAATTTGTGTATTTATAACAATGAAAATGACTTAGTCGCTCAAAGTCGTTCTTAAAACAGCATTGCTGTTATTGTATACAACATTTTCGTGGTTGTGCTCACTTTACTCTTCATCATTTCATACAAATTTTTCCATGCTTTCTAAGATCATTGAACTCATCATTTCTTGTAGCACAATAGTGTTCCCTCACAACCATACACCACACTTTGTTCAGCCATTCCCTAATTGATGGACATCCCCCTTCAATTTGCAGTTCTTGCCACCAGAAAGAGAGCTGCTATAAACATTCCATTCACATTCAGTTATAATTACTATTTGTGAATTTCCTACCATCTTATTTTTACTATTTTATTTCTCAGCCTCTTTTTACCCTATCCATGTTACCTTATCTTCTCCTCCCACCTTCTCACCCTTTACTTCACCCACCCCCCCCTAAAAGTTCCTCCCACATCCTGTCCCTAGTTTTCTCACCTCTACGAGTTCAGAAGACTTCTACACCCTCCTGGAATGTTCTTTCATGTTCTCTCTGCCCCTTAGTTTTTCTGGCTTTCTTCAAGATTGAGTTCGAAACCCGTGGGAAGGCTTTTTCTTATTATCTCTCCATTAGACTGTAAGTTCCTTGAAGGCAAAGGACTCCCCCCTGCCCCGCCATTCTTTGTATACCCAGTGCATAGCACAGTGGGAAGCACACAGTAAACACTTAAATGCTTGTTGTTTGACTGATTGATACTAAGAGTACATTTAGCACTGGAGAATGTAACTAGTGAGGCAGTATCTTCTGAAGGAATGGAAAGCCAGGTTTCTGTTTGAGTCCAAGAAGTTGGAAAGACTAAGAGGAAGCCATTTAAGAGTAGAAGTTTATCTACAATAGATTGCAGAGGTGTATGGCTGAGGTTGGTGGTAATGAGAATAGAGAGTGATATAGCAGGGGAAGATTTTCAACTTGGCAGATGGTGACAAACATGCTCAGGTCTCTCCAATAATTAAAACAGTAACAGTAAAACTGTTACAATAGCATTTATATAGGTCCTTAAAGTTTGCAAAGCACTTTACAAAATGTTTTCTCATTTTATCCTCACAACAACCTTG